AAAGCACATATCTGAGAAACAGCGGGAGGGAAACAGAAAGCCATAAAAAGCAGACAGTTAAACAGATCTGGTTTCAGTCTGGTGGACTTGAGAGTTGTCTCTGCATTCAAGGCCTCTTAACAGCTCAATGGAAAAATAACAAATAGTCTGTTTTAAAACACAAAATGATTGCGGCAGAGCTAGAAACTTTCTGCAAATAGACCCTGCCTTGCTCCAATAAATTTCATTGCTCATTGCTCAAAGAAAGCAGCAGTTATTTTTATGCCTGGAAAGCTACATTTCCATTTGTTTGTGCTGCAGTGAAGACTGGTTATAAGCAGCAGGGTTTTCTGATCTCCAGAGGATTAAAGAGCTCACCAAGCCCCCGTGTGCAATGCTGACCACCTTTGCTCAAAGAAGTTTCACTCAACCTAGAACAAATGCAGAGAAGAGCTAGTAGGAATGGAGAAGCTACATCTGAGAGAAGACTAAGAGCCAGGTTTGTTCAGATTAGTACAACAATCTAGATGGGACAGGCTCAGTACCATGAGTAACACGTACCTCAGTAAATGCTGAGGCAAAGAAGGTAGAATAGCATTCTCACAACAATGAAGTATAAAAATGCCACTTATATTTGGTCTGGATATCAAATGATTTTTAAAAACAAGGAAGTTATGTTTTTGAAAAATCAAAAACTAAAACTCAACTATGCCTTATCTGTTTGATGAGAAGATKTCTATTTCTCTGGAGCTCTTGCCATAGGCAGCAGGACTGGAAAGATTTTCCAGGGTCCCAGGCCCTCCAACAGCCAACACTGCTTTGCATTTTTTTTGTTCTTTCCCTCATATTRGGTATCACAGACTGCTGACATTTTCCAGGACCGACTATGCAGGAGGAACAAAACAGACATTAGGCTTTAGTGCAAGACCAGAGCGGGAGAGGACACCAACAAAAAAAGCACACACACAGGGCCAACCTGGTGCATTTCAGTATTTCAGACCTTAGYTGTTAAACTGATCTCTGGTAACGTCAGTAATGCTCCACGATACCACAACAAGGTTATGACTAGCAGAAGAGCAATAGTCATGCACCAGCTGGGCATTTCAAACATAGGTAGCAAGTCACTCTTGCTATACTTCATCATACCTTATGGGCCCTGAACCTCAAATGGACTGAGGGAAAGGCAACTTAATGCAAAAATGACAGCCTTTCTAAAACACCAAAGGTCAAAATTCTACGGCAGGTGCATTGACTTTCTCAAGTTGTCTTCCGTGCTTACCAAACAGATTCTTCCACAAACGTACTGCTGACAGGGCTGGAAACGCAGCAAGGCATCACTTTCAGAAACTGCAGACTTGGAATCCCTGCTAAAATATTATCTGAAATTGCAGACTGCTCAGTGCTGGAGTGGATCAGCCGCTGCTGTTCACAAGTTCATCAACAGTGAATATAACAAGCGCATAAAATCAAATCAGTAATTAACACACAAGCGCACMGTATGCTCTATGAAAGAAACAGACTTTACATAATGTCTCAAAATATTTCACTGCAAGATAACAGGGTGAGGAAGGGATGGATTAGGTTGCATCAGCAACGGAAAAAAATTATCTGAAGAGTTTATATATGCAAGTAGCTGTGGAGCAATGACAGCAATGACACAARGACAAAATGAAATGGGAAAATGGGGCAAACAGTCTGTGCTAAATAAGATGCACCTTGAAAGAGGGTTCAAGTCAGCCAAGCACCATGGAACCAGGACTAGAAACATGAATATCTTGTTGGGGTTGACTCGCACAGACTCAACCATTATGAAGGAGCTGGTGGAGAAGACAGCTGTGGATCAAAGCCACCATGGCCCCACATGCCCTTCCCTATCCTGTGCTGCAGGAGACAACGTTGATCCAGTTCTGTGCAGGCCTGTTGTGCAGTGTCAGCAGCAGAAAGCTGAGGAGCTCTGGGAGTTCACATCGTGCCAGCTTGAAGGAAATTCTGCCACGTAACATGGGGAAAAAATGCAATCCAATTTACTACATCTTCACGCAAATAAATGCAGAGCTGGAAAATAGCCACCCTGGCATAAAATATGTGGTACCACCTTGAAGAATGAATTCTAAATAATTGAACTTCCTATCAGTCAGTCACAGCAGGTTTTAACAAATCACACTGTAACTGCAGCTATTAAACATACATCTTYTACTATAGTAAATGTCAGGGTATAAAATATGAATATTCTCTGCACATTTGAATGTCAGGAAAAAARATCTGTAGTCAAAAGCTGTCACATTTTCATTTGGTCACATGATTCAGCCCACCTCAGATATGAGATAGACATCTAATCACATGACTGTCCCTTAAGAGACGCTGAGAACTTACAGCTTATATCATCTTCCTGGAATTAAGCCGCATATATTCGCTTTCCCAGTGATTGCACTTATTCATCCTTAGATTGCAAATCTTTGTTACCAAACCATGTGTAAGTAACTGCCAGCACCCAAATCACATCTTCACACAAGCTTGTATTCTGTGATGTGAGCCTGCAACTTACCTTGGGATCTTCGAACTAACTTGTCTGGAGACTTCCTCTAAAAATGCTGTATCAATACCTATTTTCTTTATAAAACTGCAAGATTTGAAGACACATTTAGACTCTTTGCATATGCTTAGAAAAAAACATTTTCATTCTTCTATTGTTTACATTATTCCAACATGAAAAAAACCTCAAGACATTAAGGTTGTCATAACCTGGTCATAAGCTTTTCATCTACCCTAGGTTAATCATTTAGACCTTAGAGAAAAAGATGTTTAGTACTTCAGCAGTAGACTGATTTAGCACCAGAAGATACAATGAAGATGGATCAACACTATTTCTGATGAGTTAAGATGAATCTATAGAAAACCCTGAAGCAAAGAGATTCATTTTCTGAAGAATGAAGCCACAGTTTTCCAAAAGTTCAAGTCCAGAGTTCACCTCATGGGATATCTGTATTTTTCACAGCATTTCCTTTGGTTTCCAAAGCAGTGCACATTTTTCCAATCCCAGGGTAATTTAAAAGGAACTGTCCACTGTGAAATGAAGGTGTTGAACCTTCAATTACACAAGGCCTTAAACATACTTCTGGAAGACATTACAAGTGTGCATCTCATCCATGAGCACACCTTTCTGAGCAGGATCTAGTAAAGCAGGTCAAGACTGCTTAGAGCMGTGATTGGCATTCACTGAAAGAGATTATGAGACAGCCTCCAAATTCATCAGCACTGAGAAAGGACCTTGTCTGAGGTGGAAGGGCTGRTAGCTGTTTGAGCATAATCTTGTGTCTAGTGAACACTTAGCCCGCATTTCGCGACAGTGTGAACAGAAAATGGACTGGTAAAGAGGGAGATGCATTAGAGAAAGCATCAGCGACAGATCAGGCTGCAGGATCTTCACCTTATGCCACTTTAGACACTTTTATTACTACGAGGACATAAGGAAAAAGATCCCCATTTCTAARTAACTCCATACATGCAGTCATATGTATTGCACAGTGACTTAGGGCAAAGAGGGACATAGCCAGACTTGGCTTTCTAACTCCCTTACTTCTAAAGTACTTTTCAAAAGTCACAGAACTATGTCTTCCACACAAAACCATGTGGAAAAGTTGCCCTTTTCAGAATAATGGGCAAATCTCTCTGCCTAAATCTAAGTGTAAAAATATAAAGTTGCATCAGAAAATCCTTAATMCAAGCTGAAGGCTAAAGGAATCTGTTTAGCCAAGAAGCCTCAGTAGTTCTAGTTCCTTGCAAACAGAACAAGCACAGGGTATGGCTACTACTGACCTGCCAGAAATTACCTTTTATTTATTTATTTATTTAAAAGAAGGCAGCTAAGACACAGGTCGACACAGGTCTTCTGACTAAATACTGCTAGGAGGTATTCGGACTACCAAGAGGATTGACTTAAGCATGAGCCAGATTGAAGGATGGATGTGCTGACTGCTTGCCATTTGAGAATAAAGCAACTGGTGAAGCAGGCAAGTTCATATACAGTAATTGCCTCCCCTTAGCTTCCAGGTAAGTCCATGAACAGAACAGCTTGGTCCGTGCAAAGTGTAAAAGCTCAGGTACTGAATTCCACAAGGTGCCTTTAATAATAAACTTTTTGCCCAATAGCTTTTCCTTCTGTTTTAGGGCAAGAAGTGATATGATCTTGAAAACAGCAGTAGCATTAGCTAGAGAGGCTCTGCAGTTAAACCCTCTAACCCATCAATTGCATTCTCCGCATACGCAGAAAATAATTTCTCCTCAAAAACCTTATACAGCATTTGCCCACCTAACATGAAAAAAGCACAGAGACAAAACAAAACCTCCGTTCTTGTCTTGTGCTSTTTTTGAAAGCCTTTCATCTTAATATCAGTAACACTGGCCAAAAACAAAACCAAAACTCATTTCTCCCAAAACACACTCTTGAACATATATATGGCAATTTTAGAAGACAAAACCTATATGAAGACTCAGCTAAACAGTGAAGCAGAACATTACATGTAGGCACCTTTTATAAACACACCAAGTTATAGAAATTGACCTTTATTTAACACAGTAATCAGTTTAACTTTTTCTTGATACAAAGTAACGTTTTTATTTTAGTACAGAAAATCCATGTCCAAACAGTACCTGTCTGTTTCAGCTGTACCACTGGAGTCCACTCTGACCTCAACTTTAAAAAAAAAATAAATGAAATAAACAAAAAAACCTGCTGTCCCTCACACCATGAGAAATACTTGAACTAGTAATTCACCCATACCATTTCTTATTTTTTTATATATATACACACATACGCACACAAATATGCGTGTATATGTATAAATATTTAAATTATAAAACAGCATATGTAAAACAATTTAAATTTAGGACCAAATCTTTCTTTGAAGAACTGTGCAGAAGAATCCCTTTTTTTATTAAACAAACTGCAAACAGAAGTAAAACAACAGGCTGTAGTGTAAAACTAGAAACCCCACATAATGAAATRTCAGGAACAGTGACTAAGAAAGCAGTTCTACTCAAATGATATCTTAAAAACAATTAAAATACAGTACCCAAAAACACATGGCACAAAAGACAGAAGATRCGGTACAAGACCTATGTTAGGAACACAGACTCAGAAGTGCAAAAACAAAAAAGGAACTGATACAATGGAGTTCGGTACAATAGGTAAGTACTGCAACCAAAACTAAATGATCACTTACTTGTTGACAGTGAAAACACTAACAATTTAGTACCTTTCTAAAGGCTTTTAATCAAAGCCCTAAAACTGTGGCTGCGCTTATATTAAATAAAAACAATCTATGTGAATGCTACACACTGAAACACAAAGCTTAAGAATTACCCTGCAAAATTGCACCAACATAAGCTTTCAATATTTACAGTATCTAAAAGTGACAAAACACAGCATGCTAGGCCTGCAGCTTAYGACTCTCCCGCCACTACTTAGCCCAGGCCCAACAACCAAAAATTATCTCTCAACACACGCTTAAGCTTGGATTGTTCAGATATATTATGACGCTTAAATATTAGATTCATGCATAAAACGAACAAAAAAAACGGCCTGTTTGACAGACAAGGGTTGACAGAATACAAACAGTGGTCTGCCCTGTRCAGGAGTGTTCTTCCGAGCTTACTCCAAGACGTACCGATTGAAATACCATGGTATCACCCGGCAGTCACGTCAACAACGTGCCTACAAATGGTCAGAATTGCAAGGCAGAAGCACATTGCGCATAAACCATTCACTCATCTGCAGAAATCTCACTCGACTGGGGAGAGTTATCTCATTAAGTGAAAGGAGACAGTTCAAAAAAAGAAAAAAAAACAAACAACGATGAAAAGAACCCAGAGACGTTCAAGTAAACAGCAACAACAAAATACTTTGAAAAGGTTTTTTGTAAACTTGTCATTCTACAGGGTTTTGCAGCATTGCTATGTTCATGGCTTGGGAGAGGTGCTCTGAGGCTGCATCCCCTCCTTGCAGCCAGCCCCGTGTGTGTACGACGWAAGAGACAAGCTCTGTGACGTGACCTACCCCTTCCCATGTGCCTTGTCAGGTCCGTGTTCAGTGTATCACTCCCCTTCGTGAAACAGAAGTCACCTACTTGCATCTTTATCAAGACAGAAATGCACAGGGTCCATTGGACAGAAAGTTAATCGGTTATTTACATCTGCGAAGTAGCTTCACAGCAATGTAACCTAGAGCGGGCCAGCTGGGATCCACAGGACTTTGTTTTGTTCTTGATCAACCGTTGTCATAATCTGAGTGCAAATGCTCGAGAGGGCTCCTCCTTGGACGATGCCTGCCAAGAGACAAACCCCGGGCACAAATTAYGCCCTGGAACAAATGCTTAGGACCATCTACGAAGAGGAGAGCGAGGCATTTTTCTGCCTGTGTTTATCAACACATCAGAATTAATTTACCTAATCCAGTATTTGCCAGATATATGACTCCATTAAAACATGAAAAAGAATAAACAGAGCAAAGAAGGCAAGCATTCAGTATACGGGCTCTTCTGCTAGTCCTTAAATCAGCCTAGAGAAGCAGAAAAACTGATGGCTATAATGAACCAAGACAACTGTTCAGTTAGGGTTCTGTATGTGCTAATTTCAGCGCAATCTGGTAGCAAAGTTTAAGTCAAAATATGGTCAGACCCTGTTATACCACAGCTTTGCTCTTGAGAATGTGATGGTAATACTTATATATTTATGTGCTAACATACATAGAGGTTATAGTTGGAGCAACTGGCACTACATGCAAATCTTAAAAGCAAATTGTCAGATARCTCACAGAAAGCCAAGGTATGTGAAACAGCCACAGTTGCTACCCAAATCTTACTATATTCASGGAATCAAAGGTAAACAGCACACAATTCTGAAAATGGATTCAAGAGCTCAATGAAGAACACCTTGCCTTCTACTGTGGCTAAAGACAAAAGCCATAAAACACTAACATTGACACAGAAGGAGAAGATACATTATTAGATTTTAGAACTGAAAAAGTAAGAACTCTGTGACTTGAGAGTTTTGTTAGTAAAACCTCTTGGGCCTCAGCTAGCACTTATGCTGGAAGGAAATGGAAAGCCTTTTAAGGCATTAGACATATTTCTTTGAAATGCAAAAATAGGATTCTACAGAAAAATTGATTCCGCAATATATCCTGATGCAAATTTGGACAGACAGTACAGTAACTGGACAAAAACTGCAGTTCAGATGGTAGAAAATGGTAGTTAAGTGGTAGTTAATGGTAGCTAAGTTACACACAATGCTTAAAATGTTGTAGAGAAAATAAAACGGTCAGTAGTCCAAAAAAGCATTTACTGAAGCAGCTATAGAGACTGGGTCTGAGAGAATGCATGTAAGTAAGCTACTGTGTCCAACACGCTCAACTCTAGGCATGTCCCAGGCACTAAACTACCATTTTGGAATTCCAGAAAGCCAAAATGTCAGCCCAGTTTGGACACTGGTTCTCTGTGACCAACCAGCTCTGGTAACCAGGGACAGCAGGAGTCCTCTGCACTTGCTGCTGCAGGGAGCCCTGCCCCGTGGGCACACGATGGGGTGGCACTGGGACCCGCCGGGCACAGYGGCTCAATTTCACTTGAGGGTGGAAGCCAAGATGCAGCAGTTGACTTGCAACATGCAGCAGAGGATAACTTGTGGTCATATACACTGCGGTCCCAAGCAGCTCAAATTCTGTCAAGGTTTAGTTTAATTCACTGAAAATGAACAAGTAGCTTGAACAAGTGCTGGGTAACTGACTTCTGCACATTTGGGATTTCTCTCAGAATATGTTAGGGTAGCTCAGTACTAAGGAAGGATCTACATAATCCCTCCTCCCCTGCACTTGACAGATATTTCCCAGAATGATGGGAGTTCTTGAGTTGGGTTTTGTCTTGTCCCCCAAACCAATGTAATTTTCTGGAAAATTGCCATTTCTACATTTCACCCCGACTCTTTTCGATTTAGATGAAAACCCATTGAAAAATATTCCAAAACATTCCAAAACAAGAACRGACAGTCTTCAAGCAGCACAGAGTATGTCCAGTCCAACTAAAGCAGTTAATAAAGAAACTAAAATTACTTAAGTTACTAAAGTAACTTTATGCAGGATCCATATATTGTATTTATATTTAGATTGGGAGTCTTGCTTTCTCATGAAACACCAGAGTTTGCAAAAAGGAGGAGTGTAATGAAAAAACACTCGGAAGAGCCACAGAAACTTTAGAGTCATGGCATAAAGGGAGAAAACGGCAGCTGTGTCCTCAGTGGAACTTTGATGAAATACAAACCTGTGAAGTACTTGCTATACTCCTGTTCTATTTTTTGAGCCGTCTCGAACTGTTCTTTGGAATGTTTTTGTGTAACTTTGTCCCTCAGGAAGATGGGGTCTTTTTGCTCTCTATAAAAAGAAAGAAATATACTGCATAAGTGTATTTATTTTAAATGGATTTGAAGCAACTATCTCCAACTGGRTACATGTGAAAGACTGGTTAATTTGCAAATGTAACCATGCACAGAGTGCCACCTACTGCACTTCAGCAGCATCAGCACGGGATCATTCCAGTGCACCAGATTTCCTTAAAAATCAGAGAACTTGGGATGGTGCTTGGGGAGAAAGAATCAACTTTTTCCTGGTTTACGAGAACCAGATCATTTTATMTACACACTCCAGTATTCTCTGCATTGAACTGGGCTCCACTCAACTGCATTCTTAAAAGTCAGGAATTATTAAACATTGAGAAAACTGACAACAAGAGGAATTTTGAGTATATGTAATATGATATAAATACACAAATATGACATATTGTGAAGCAAACTAATTTTCTGTTACCCAAGCTGTAGGAAATGTAATAAAAAAAGAGTGARAGAAATACAAGTGGTAAAAATCCTCATTTGAGAGCAAGGCTTTTCACATTCTTATCTATGACTCTGGCTTGGGGTCCTCAGTAAGGGATTCTATTCCAAAGCARGCAGAATCTATCATCAGAAGCCATGACATATAGACAGGTACTGACCTCATAAAAGCCTAGGTTCTTCTAGTAGCAGCGAGGGACTTAGGACAAATTTATTTTATAAAGTCTGGTGAGTAGAAAACCCTACTGAGCTAATATATCACTGGTATGGTGAGCATGTCTGCTACTTAGGGACAAGAAGTCCTGAAGAATGCCAATAGGACCTGTGCTAAATCAGAATTTTTCTCTTAATAGACYATTGGTGCCCAAACGAGGCCGAAATAGTGTATTACTGCATCTTATTTTGATGACTGCTAAAATCCTTGCTTGTCTACTTCAATCTCCACGTCGTTTTCAAAAAAAAAAAACCAAAACCCAATAGCTTTAATGGCCACTGTGTGATTCTCAAAAGGGCTCAGCACATGACAGCTGCATTCATCATTCCAGTGCATGATCCTGCAGTCCCCGTGAAATGTGTCATTTTACTTGATTTCTTGTCTGTCTTTGACAGTGGTTGTGTTCCTTTCTTAAATAAACAACTGGCCATCAAAATTGCAAAAAGATCAGAAATATCGCAACTTGCAAAATGCAAGCAGCCTAAGCAAAGATTTCTCATGGTAAGCTTTTCTTGATACTTATTAGGAACATTATGACCCTTTTTGGCCAATAAAACTAGTGAAGACTAACTAAAATATTAGGGGACAGACTGGAAGTTGCTTTTTTCAATAAAGTCAGGATGGCTGAAGTTAAGTGGAATAACTGCAACCTAATAACAATGAAAGTTCACTGCATTTTCACACTTGACCCACTGAGATTAAGAATACATCTTTGCGATAGTCACTGCTTAATGCTTAATTTAAATATGTATCTCACATCTTATGGATTAACAGGACGGTGAGTAAGAAGTATCTGAGTTATCTCCTAGTGTATATACACTTTAGTTTACATCATTCCATTTCCTTGAATGGTTCACTTATCCCCATGCAACCAAAACGAAGTTAAGACCATTTACCTCACAGTTTACAATAGGATTTTACAAGAGATTTAGGATAATTAGAATGAAAGAAACAGTAAACATACAAGCTTACGCCTATTTTAATATAAAAATAAACTCTCTTGAGCTGTAATGTCCACACACTTACTTGATTTGTTTAGCGTTTTTGTAGCGAATAAAAATTACTATAGGGTAGATGTGAACACTATGGAGCCGTTCAATAGCATGAGGAGCAATGTCCAGCAGACAATGACAATCCTGAATTCAAATATAAATGAAAAACACTCAATCAGGTAAAGAGTAGGAGCACATATGCAGATTCTCCATTTCTTCCCCTACTTAAAACATAGCAATCCAATAGAATTCGTATTCATATTCAACAAATAGAGCTACTGAATAATTTGTACTGAAGACAGAAAATTAAAAACATCAAGAAACTCCATTTACAGTATCAAAAATGTGCAGCGATAGACAAAAGCATTTCAAGAGATACTGAARTGAAAACTTAGACTGAATATATGAAATACTGCCTCCCCTCCACCCATTTCAAGTATTCATATTCATTTTGACTTTAAAATCTKCAATTAACAAAAGTGTTCCTTAAGTGACAGGGCTCTGCAGGTGGTATAACAGGCAACTAAAAGCAATGTACAGATCTTAATTTACATTCATCTCCAGGATTATCATGCTTATGTTCTACATGACTGCATTAAAAGCAACAATTAAGACACTTAAGTCCACTAAGTATTTTAAAGATAGAAAAAAAAAATCTAAGATGATATTTTTTAACTTAATACTATGAAAGAACACACACATGTCCAGTTTCCTTGCAACTAAACTAAAATTTCAACTGTGAAGTGTCAGAACAGAATAACTGTTCCACACCTTACTTTATTAAAACAGTAGCCTGAGCAACCCTTCTATGGTTGTCTTTTAGAGGTTAACACTAAATGTTTTTCTTCCCCCCCGCCCCCCCGTATACTATGACCATATTTCATAATTATTCAAGAACTATACCATAAAATGGAACTCACCTTCTCCGTTATCTCCTTTATTGAAGCTACAGTTGTCACATCAAAATGGCCACTCCTCCGTTTATAATCTATAAACAGGCAATCCTTCACTCCCCTTTCAATAGCTTGTTGGGAAGCTTTCATAACCTCTGTTTCACACAAGAAGAGATTTGACATTTATTCCAATTCCTTAGGCACAGAGTAAGACTTACAGAACAGCCAACTTGAAGTTCAATTTTTCCTTTTTTTTTTTTCCCCTCCATTTCTGTGCTAAGATTTAGTTCACTTACAGATGTTACTATCACTTGTTCTAGGCAAGGATGAATGACATGCTTACCAAGAGGACATCTGCAAAATTTTCCAGGAGATTCTTTAACCAACATGTCTTTCACAGCATCAAGCAACGGTCCTAGAATAAGCACAGGCCTAGGAGAGGTACAGTCCACTTTCTGCACACGCTGATAGGCCAGACTTCCAGAATCTAAAAACACAGAAAAAAAGTTACTGGCACATCATTTCATCCGGCATTCCTCAAGTAATGCAGAACTACCCCTATAGTAATTATGACATCAACCCCCCGGTAATGGATAAGGGCTTTGACAAGTATAAGAAACACCCCCTAGACACGATTGCAATTTTCCCCACCTCAAAGCTTAAAGCAGGTATTTTGCTTATTGAATTTGGTGACTCCTCTCCCTCTCACCCTTCCTGCATCTATCTTTAAAAACAATGATTCCYCTATTTCCTAAAAATAAGAACAAGGTAGAGTAGTTTCTCTCATTTCATCTCTTCAGTTCTTTTCAGGTAGTAAGTGTTATAAACAAATAAGTAGTGTAATCAGCATGACTCYTCTAAAGCAATATATGAATATAAGCAAAATAAATTGAGCCATGTCCAGGATTTCTGTCTAGATGAAACAACCTGGATTGAAAATAAATAGTTCAAAGACTGAAACTGCACATCAGAAGGCAATCTCCCTGGGGAAATGAAACATTAGTGCTAACAGACCCAGGAATAAGCTTATTAAAAGCTAATAAAATAGAYGTTTTAATTTGAAATACTGGGCTGTGTTATTTAATGTAGTATCTCTGTCGGTTACTGAAAACATAAGGTACCTATGGAAACAWAGGTTCAGCATGTATAATGCAGACCAACTGGAAAGCTACACCACCTGTAAGACTCTTAGCATCATACTGACATACACACACACATGCACAGGTACATATATATGTATACATAAAAAGTCCCCTCCCAAGTATAACGCAGGAACTTGCCATCCAAGAAAGGAATAGAGTCTGTACTGATGGTATCAAGAGCCAGTAAATCCTTTCCATCTTTGGAACCGCTTCGCTTGTGTTTATGCTTTCTTCTGAAGAACGATCTCCGGGCTGCTGCTGACAGTGTCTTAGAGGAACTGTTTTCATCTTTCGCCTCAGACATGCTGTGCCTCCTATAGAACTCTTGATCCATCCTATAGTGTTAGGTAAGTGTAATTACTGAATCTTTTATCACAACATGGCACTCTGCCCTCTCTTCCATTTTAGTTTACTGCAGTAAGATTACTTTTAGTAGCACTAAATTACTCAAAAGAGCATTTTTTTCTTTTAATTGAAGTACGCCAACACTAAAACAACATATCTAAAAATTAATATGCACCTGAAAGGATAGAAGCAAGTCTTTCACACTGTATGTCATTAGTCCAATACTTGCAAAGACTAGCACAAAAAAATAAACTGTTGCACTCATCACTCACATATACTTGCTTGGAATTTGTCCTCTTTCCAGTTTCTGAGCATTCTCATCTAGCTGCCAAGCCATCCAGCAACCAAAGTTTCCTTGTGGTAGAGTATCATCAACATATAAAATGTCATCCTTCTTAAAGCTTAAATCTTGCTCCACCTCTGCCAGACGGTCATAAAGTGCTCTGGAAAAAATGACATAAATAGGTCCTTCAACTGATATTCCATCATTTCAAGGAAACTTAGAGTCAACTTTGAATTGATAAAGCATGGAGAACTGATCTATTACTCTGCTAATGATGGTTAGTATATTATCCTAACAGTCTTACGCAGTTGCTGCCAGTCACACTCAAATACCTGATATAGAATCCATCTCCAGGAAGCTCCTTTATCTTATTGAATTCTTCAAGTCTGTATTGAGTCTTGATTTTGATGTTTTCTCCTGGTTTCAGCATTTCCAGATAAGCTTCCTCAGCTGTTTTATTTCGCATATCAATGGACCCATACTGCAAAACAAAACCCACAAATCCTTAAGTGCCATGGTGCATTCAGCAGGCAATAGAATTAAGTGTCCTTCAAAAATGTTTTGAGTAAACTTGATTTTTCCACTGGCAAACTCCACATGCAAGAAAACCTTGCCACTTAATACTAATACAGTTTCAACCTTAAGATGTCTAAAGTGGAAGAGAGTGCAATCAAGACTATGCAGCTTTTTCCACTTAACTAACTCAAAATCCATGGAACACTCCCGCTAGAAAAAAACAAGAATCTCTGTACAATTAATTTATACTGTGTTAGACATTCTGTCTATATGCTGTAATGTTATTCATAACTTACCTCAAGGATCAGGTCACCCAACACCAGTCCATCAGGGCCTTTTGCTGGACTATCGTCATCTACATCTGACACAAATATTCCATACAGGTTTCCACCACAGATCTGGATCCCAAGATCCACCTGGGATTTTTTAACAACAACAGTTCTAGGTTCAGAGGTCCTTTTGTTCATGTCCACAGGGCTCCTTTTGATTGGGAGAAATAACACACGTACCTCATCTTAGAAAATATGCATTAAGAGCATAGATGTAACCAACCAGTCACCTGAGCAAAACATGGCTTCATAATTATTACTCAAAGTAAGTTTGAATAGAGAAAACAGTAGAGACACTGTTCTCAAAGACAAGCTTCATGTTACTTGCAGAAAACTTTAATCAAAACCACCTTGTCTTAACACTTCCTTCACTGCTTATGAACTCCCACATTTTGAAAAGAAATTGAAATCTTATTTCCATCCTCAGGCCAGTGAATTTGCCAGCTGACTTATTTTAACCATTCACAACCTTCACAGAAACACACTTCCTCCCCCACTCCATGTCCCTCACACTTACTCTGCCATTTTTTTTCCATTTGGATAGAAGTTTTACTCTACCTTAAGGAATTRCGCGGACTAGTAGTTGGTGTGGTTTGTTTGGATGGGGGTGTCATTGTCCCTTCATCCTGTTCGCTCACAGTATCAATTATGGAATGATTATCAGGGGTTGCAGCTCCACTGTCTTGAGGGGTGGAATGATTACTCACAGGTTCAAGGCGAGAACTAACAGTAAACGAGAATAAAATGTTGGTGGTCAACATTTCACCCATGCTAAATATTTTCCAGGCATGCACAAAGCTCCTAATTTGGCCCCAAATTAAGTATCAAAGGAAAAGCGAGGAAGACACCCACAAAAAACACCATTGCAAATAGCACAAGTACTCTGTAATTAAAAAAAAAAAAAAGACCAAAATTGAATTTTATAGTGTGATCAGCTATCAAAATGGTGCAGTTAGTTTCACTAAARCACATGCATTTTCTAATTAGTTTTTGAAAACCCCTTAACTCTAAAAGATTTTAAAACTAGCACGAAGTACATGAACCTCCAGAGGGAAGTGTGATCTTTGGTTTGAGTTGAAAGTGTCTCAGGATTATATCCAAAGAGGAAAGAAAAAATAAAAAAAAGAAAGTTCATCAAGCATTTTTTTTTCTTCTGATAAGCACATTATGCTCACACATTATTTTCCTAGGCAGTCACTCCTCTAATCAGCAGATGTTTGTAGATGTTATCTGTACAGCCTTATCTACTAACAAGATAGTCCGTGCAGCTTTTCCAAAGGCTGGCCAGCCTTACCTTGATCGTGAATGATTGCCAAGCTGATACATATGAGGGTTATACTGAGCCAGAATAGTGATGGTGTCGCACTGCTGCCCAATGATCAGTCGAGCTTGTTGCTCTGTAGCATTTCTCAAGTTTATTCCATTAAACTAGGAAAAGAAGAAATCCACAAACCAGGAGGTCAAGTTTTCACATGGAAATTAGCAAAATCGTTCTTTCTAACTCCTGATTTGTCTAACTTCTAGATGCTGAAGTACTTCCACTGGAGTAAATAGGAAGATGGAAGTGCTGCTGCACAATGACGYCTAGCATTTGATTACTCTTTGAAAGGAATCACTGTAGTTTTCAAATACATAGTAACAGGTTAACAAAAACACCTCCTCCTGTTGAAAGGCATAAACATTCTCAGTTATGATTTCCACAGTTTCTAAAAGTTTGTTCRTTGGTAATTTTTGCTATATTTTATATTTCAATATCATAGCTTAGCTGCAAAGCAGTTCAGAGCCATGACCTAAAAAAAMCAGGATTTAAAGATCAATTCAGATTCACCATCTACTCTGGTCCATTTAGCTCTGTTGCCCACACAGAACCCAGACATGCAGAAGGAGGTATGTTTACAAAGCAGCTCTGTTCTTTATAAAACGTGCCTTCACAGGATAGCCTAATACTGTAGGCAAAATGATTGTTTGTAAGCCAGTTACCTCAGGCACTGATATGAAAATGGAATAAACCTTAGTGTAGGCTAGCTGCTGGAGTATCTACTCTCCAAAACACGGTATGCTGTGATGACTATATTAAATACCCAARTTAGAGTTTAAAGCTCAAGTATGTCTGCATTAGAAGCAACACAAACTTATTTTTGTAGTGAGACCTGACAAAAAGTCACTAACAATCACAATTAGTACTTGAACGTTACAATGTATAACAGCCTTGACATTTCTCAAAGCACACCAGCTTCTGCAAGCAACTCTTTTAGAGGAAAGCAGCTCTGGTGGGGCTATCTGATCCGAGGCATCGAGATAATAAAGCAGCACTTACCTCCAGCAGCTGATCGCCATACTCCAGGCCAGCCTGATGGGCAATGCTCCCTGCTGTTACTTTAGACACAAATATTCCACCGTTTTCTCCGCTCACAATGGAAATCCCTAGTGGCTCTGAACCCTTCTGCACTTTAACATGACGTGGCTCTTCCATGTAGGGCCTTTWAATGGAGATAGTTAAAACTGATTGGAACAAAACGGCACTGGGACCATAACAATGTCACAGTCACATGCACTACTCAACATCTTGATGAATTATAACACTAAAACACGTTCAAACAGTTGCTTAAAATCTTGTACAACCAGTTGTTGTAAAGGCATTCCTTAAACACCATGCAATGTATAATGGCATAACCAAACATATATCAGTACAAAACAGCATTAAAAGGTTATAATAAATGTGATCTATAAATAGCATGGCAGTGAAGTTGGTAGATAAGAAGCTTCCGGGTCCATATTATATCCAAGTAATTTAGGTACTGCATATAATATGCAACTTACAAACCATATTCCAGAGAGGTATATGACAGTTATAAAGGCTGGGAGACTTTATTGCCAGAGAAAATAAACATCATGAACGATACGGTGGTAAACCAAAAAACAACACGTAAGATCAGATTTTCTATTTGTATGCGGGGAAACATAAATTAGTAATGAAAATTACGCAGTTGCAAACTCAAGCCATTAAGACAGCAGTTTGCATGGTAGCATTACAATTACCATGCAAATTTTTTCACAAGGAAATTATCCAAACATGTAAAACAGCACCAAGTGCGCAATACTGCTTGAGAAGGACAACCTTATATGAGGCCAACCTCAAACTCCTTAGTGATGAGAACCTAGGCCTAGGAGCCACAGGGATTCTCAGAAAAGACCTATTACGGAACAGATATCTGAAAGATGCAGAAGATTTGAGATGAAAAGGACACTTAAAAAGACACAGCAGTAACAGACACTAACAAGCACAACAACTAGGTTATACAGAAGTAAAGAGCTCAGTTCCCCYCCCCATCCCCAAGTTCCCTTCCTTGGGGGATACTTGTCTCATTCACTGCTCTGAGCAGTGGTTGAAACCTCCAGCAAGACCAACAAGCTTCTCTCAGCCTGTCCCAGAGAGCAGCCAGTCTGCACTTGACCCGAGACAAGCTGCAAACTACCATGGGCCTCCTGATGTGTGAAGCTTAGAACTTGCTGCAGAGCAGCCAATGCTCAGAGCTGAGCTAGCTCTGCATGGARAAACGTCACCAATGTGGGCACGTTGTGAGAGTAGTGCTGGCAAAACAGGACATAATTTCCTAACGCTTCATCCTGCTACGTGGACATGCCTCAAGTTGTGCAGACTGCTTAAACTACTCGAGTCACGCTCTCTATATACAGCCCACGTGAGTTAACCGGACTTCAATTACTGATACCAGAGCCAGGCAGGGTGGGGAAGGGCCAAGTCGGGGTTACCTTGGCAAGGGTGCAATGAGAAGGGCTCGGGGCAACAACAACGCACAGCAAGGAAGGGGCATCATTTCACAAGTGATGTTTATTGCTGCAGTCTCTGGAGGTAGCCACCGACAGCCTCACCTAGTACGGGGCTACCACTTCCCCAGGTTTCCAATGTAAACCAAAGCCTACTTGGTGTTCTTGGTGTTTCTTTTTTTTTTTTTTTTTTTTTTTTAGTATGACATTCAACTGTGCTAACTCACAGAAAACTTCAAGTTAGGAGTGCATATATATACATACACACACCCCCCCGCCATATAAATAAGAACACACATAGGCACATACACATATATTTTCTGTTTTGATAATGTAAACCATGCTAAAGGTAAAAGTATATTTCATACCACAATGTGGTAACTTGCTATGTGGCAAAAATATAATTACTAAACCTTTTAACCTTATTAAAATCTAAGTTACACCTTCATGTTCTCTATCTGTCATAACTTCTGCTTTCTAACTATCTACATTGGGCATATGCTTTTTTTTTTTTTTGTGTTGAAATGACAGGGTAAATCAAGCATATAAAAACTACAAAGGATTGTGTCTTGGGGTTCTAAGTAAGCTCAAAATTAATGGCAATTGGTAAAGCATATAGTAGAGAATCAATAAAAAAGTAAAATAGAACGGCAACTTTTGAAAAGGTACCTCACTTGATAAGAGGTCTTATTAAAAAATCAAGTGAGCATCCTTTCCTTCAACATTTAGAGAGCACCTGACAGATTAACCAAACATAAATTAGAAAAAAGCTCTAACATTTTTTTATTTAAATTTCTCTTCCTAAAAATCAACAGAACAGCATGTTTTGAGGGGAGCATGTTGCTTACAGTAACTGGGGAAAAGCCAAATAATTTACTTTTATTCTGAGAGAAAAACAGGGAGTAGAAAGACCAAATAACGATTTAAAATGCTTAACTCAGCTTAAATCTTTTTGTTAAGACATTTACTTTAGCCAAATGATTGGTAAAGCTTTTTTTTGAGCTTGTAATGTTATTCTTTTCAAATGATCCTAAATATGACCAGCAAGAGCCAAATACCTCAAATACCCATCTTTTGAACATCATTAGTGAAAATTGTGTTATTTGCCAAAGATAAGCAAATATATCTTACASTAATGTGTGTCAAAACTAGCATTTCTAGTAGAATGCTTGACATGATTTGTCAGGTGAAAAAGGAAAAATTCCAATTTTGAATTCACACTGTAGATGTACATTTATATGAAAACACAAATTGAGTACATGCAGCATGAAAGTTACACTCAAGTCAAGAAASAAAGTCCAGAGAACTCTCTACATTCCCTTTCATGGTAATGCCGTGCTTCATACCCAATATAAACTTAATGTCACTACAATAACTTTGTTACCAATTGCTCAACAAGACAGAAGGTTCATGTAGCATTTTATGAATAAGCAAACTTGGAGTATAGAATATCCTTATTACTTTATCTTTCACATTTTTATGGTCAGATCCTTCAGAACATTAAGTGCCTGTATATAAATCAGGCAATATAGACGGCTTCTGAAGACCACACGAATGTAATGACTCCAACAGATGACAGTTTCTTTACACTACTAGAATCGCATGCAGCATTCGAGTAAAAAGGCTGATTCAGATTTTGTGTCTGACACAAGTTCAAGCAACTGTTCCATGTATACTGCCTATCCAGGTTATGATACATGAAACCAAATAAAAAACTAAATAAAACCCACAYATTCTGCTAACATCTACGTACTTTATGTCACAGCTAGCAGTAGTCCCCAGAGTCAAAGGGATTAGTCACAGCCATAAAACTGGTCTATACATACGCACACGCTTCTCCTGCACAGTTACACTTTCATTTTACTTATGTGATCTAGCTAAACTGAATCCAAGGAACACTTTRCAATACTAGGGCAGGTGATCATTGACTACCAGAAGTTACTACATGTTCGTAACGCTTGTTTTTCTAGAGTACCAAACAAGCCTGATATAAATACTGATCTGAAGTAACTCATCTGAAAGGGAGTACTCCAGTTTAGAGTGCTTGTATKTGGTGTAGCCATTCATGTAATAGGAAAAAATAAAACCCTTATGAATTCCTTAGTTGTCTAAACTCAAAACTTGTAGGTTCTGGAGGCAAAAAACATCTACATTTCTTATATATTTTGTTAAAAGAGTAAAATATCATTAMGAATATATCTCTGCTCATACATTTTTGTCACTAAAATCAACTGTTTACACTCCTTCCATGCACAAATAATTCTGATACATTTGTACTGAACAATGTGGGGMCCTTACCTATCTTTTCTACGTTCTCCAACAGAAACCGGGCTAATAGAAATCCTAGGTAACGTGGAAAGGGAATTCTGAGATTGGCTGCTGGCAAAGGAAGAGGTTTCCAAGTTCAGTGGTGACTGTGGAGGAGTTATCAGGCTGGGACTGCTACATTCTGAGTGAGATAAGGAGCCTAGGGAGAAAAAAAAAGAAAAAAAAATCAGAGTTGTGAGCATCGTGCAGCTCCTACACTTTTGGGAGTTATGACACATAATGAAAGATGCACCATATATATTTGACATGTCAGAAGAACTCCTAATGGTATATTTTACTCTCTCACTGCATAAGAACTTAGGGAGACTATCCTCCTAACTTCAGTAACTAAATTTAGACAGTGCAAGTTGACTGTCATTAATATCACATGTAATGTTACATTTGCCCAGTTAGCAGAAGTGCTGCCTATAATACCCTATGGCTACAGAACACCCAAACAGTGGCACAGAACAGCTGCTACTTMCTGTAATCAAAGTCTAGATTCTGCAGCTCCCTAGTACTTGCACTATTCTACTGAAGTGCTAGCATTTTTGTTACATTTCAAAATATAACTTACAATCCAGACTGCAATATTATGCAAAAAATAATATTTAGTTAAAAAAAAAATAAAAAAGTACAAGCCATTTCACTGTTAAGCATTTAAGATACCATTCCAGGAAAAAATTAAAACTGTACAACACACAGCAATGCTTACTATTTTAGTGGATTTTTTTTTCTAGTGTGTCATATCCTAGAATCAACTAACCGAAAAATCATCTTCCATTACATTTTTTTTCTCTCCTTTTTAAGGGAAAATATATATATTCTAACCTTCATAAAGTTATCAAATTCTTAAAATTTTGGTGAAGCTGGATTCTAACACAAGGGCTTTGGAGTGCCAATATTAAAAGCATTAGAAAGATGGTGTATTATGAACGATTTACCTCTGTCAGAGCCCACGACGGACCTTGGATATCTTGGTGTTAAAGGGATCTTAATTCGTTCTGTCCTGTATTGCAAGTTACTTGAAGAACCTATTTTACAACAAGATGATGYAGCAAATGAACATATTTAAGAGCAGCTACACTGAACAAGACAATAGATTTAGATTCTACCTCTTTCATGACCATCAAACATGGTTTCTGAATTTACGTAGAAGCCTTCAGAATTGGAAATACTGTCTATACCATTTCTAGTAAATTGTCTCTGTATTCACCTCCATTTTAAGAAACCTCAGAAGCACTCTCATCTTTATAACKGTGCTTTGTAACAACAGCAGATATCAAAAGGAGAATTCTGCATTCCTCACATCCAGCATTTCAGAGAGATTCTCAAGRTAGAAATCAACCTGGATTCTCCCAAAGAAAACCTTTTGCAACTAAGCCAGATAAAATTAAGCAAAGTAATAGAAGAAGCCTTTTAGACTTTGCTAATATGTACATAAACAAGGAGTTGTCCATTTAATCCATTTATTATTTGTCTCAAACACGTAGAAGTCATGAAAGATAGAAAACYTGCTTACCAAGTCTTGCACTGGATGGTAGTGAGTTTGAGCCATGAGATGCTCGTGTGCGTGAATTTTCAGAGTATTCATTGGAGTGTTTATGACTTAAGTCCAGACTTAAGCGACCTTGATGCTGGGCACTACATTCAAAGCAAGGGAGACAGCAACGGTTATGACTAGGCAATGTATCTCAGCAAACAGYAAATAAGCAAAAAAAATCCACCACTTTATGAATTAAGCTAAGTGAGAAGGAGAAAAATAAAGTGCTTAAAAACAGGAAAGACTTCACTTATTGCAAAAGAAAACCAACTAAACATTAGTTAATTCAAAAAGTTCTTTATCTACACTAGTCAGTGAAATAGCAGGGAAATGCAAGCTATAAAACACTGAAAGACATGAAAGCAGTCGGCACATCACCTCTGTAATAACAGTAATGAGATCCCAGGGTAAAAAAAGCACAAGTGCGTGCACACACACACACACACACACACACACACAACTGTTTTATTGGGAAGTGGATAAACTAGCAGAAACTACTCCACCTTAATGTCTTTAGAAACAAAAATCTAAGGGCATAAAAATTTCAAGACACCTGGGATGCAGATGCTGATGGCATATTTGGCTGGCAACTGATGGGCAGTTGTTGGTGTGGACTCTATGGCTCCAAGCTGTATAGATTGGATTTCTCATGACAGCAGTTACTGCAGGGCATGGTGCTAAGCTTCTTGGTACAGTACCTATTCAGAAGTGATAAAGAGAGTTAACAACATTATTAGAATACATCTAAGTTACAGAAGATAAAAATGGTTATACAATTTGATATTATTATGTATTATAATATAGTCACATGGAAGCACATATACCTATAAGAATAGATTAGCAAATACATCCATGTGGTTCAATATCGTTTAAGTAGTATATGCACATTTAAAAGCTGGACTGTAATTTCATAATGACTCGGGGATGAAGTGAATAACTTGGACTAAAGAAAACAAACAAGACTATTCAGGGTATATTATCAAATGCATCGGGACCTAAAAAACTCTCTCTGTCTTCTAGTCTCAAACATTTTTATTCAGCAACGACATTTATGTCTTTCAATCATCAAGACAGGAAAGCAAAATTTTATTTGCTATTTGAACAGAATGCAGCTAAAACTATCCTTATTTTTAAACTATCCTTATTTTTCTGCTGGCTCACAGACTTCTAGGCATGACCGATGGCTTTAAATAATATTGTCATGTTTATTTATGAAACTATTTATACAAGCTTTTCATTTAAGTACATTTACCTTTCAGTACTCAAAAGTCTGCTTGACCAATTTCTTCTTAAATCAAATAGCAAGAACTTGTTCACATATTGGGAAGTACAAGTATATTGTCCATATAGTATGATTAGGTTATCATGCAATTAAGAGTTCAAAGAATGAAGTAAAATACAGYCCCTTCTCAAAAAGAAATAACTAATACTTTTTCTATCATCATTAAATGAGAAAAAAAAAAAGCATGTACTAAGTGAGAAGAGCAGAAGTATTTGATTTGAGCCAAGAGAGGCAGTCTGACATGCCAACTCTTGTCACCCAAATGACCACCTCCTACCTGCTGCCATGGCTCCAGCATACAAGGAGGGGGGCACGAAGCCATCGCTGTGCCTGGCGGAGCGCTTGGGTGAGTACGGGGCCCACTCCTGAACGTCCGGAGACAGATGCTCCTCGCTTGCTGGAGTAAACTTCTGCACCTAAAAACAAACAAAACCCATTGAAATTATAGACAGATAGAGATGTAGAGAAAAGAAACTAACCCAAACTCTTACCATAGCAATGCTTGCTAYACCTTTGCTTTACCTTCCAACACTGCTAACCACTTCTATCCCTCTGCTTTAGGCCAGTTTTCAACCTACCTGATCGGCTTTCCTTTTTTTTTTTCCCCCCCTAAGGAAATTCACTTCTAAAAAATTTGCCTGTTGTTCTCTTGTTCTACAGTGCATGGCCCCAAATCCTACATCAGCTATTCCTAATTAATTAGTTATTCCTGTATTCCTTCTAAAACTCRGTGTACTGAGTGGGGTTGTGCAGTACCATCAGGCCCCATAAACACGACACTACACTTAAGAGTGATTATACTCAAGCAAAAAAAAAAAAAAAACCACACTTTTTCAAGCTTAATATTACAGTTGGAAAAATATTTTCTATTTTATATATGAAAACAGATCATCAAATTTATAATTTGCTCCAGCTGGTGAGCACMTCTGATATGGTGGATATGAAACTACGCTATTTATTATGCCACTTGGTATTATTTAGRCAGCTGAACAGATGAGCTGCACAGTGTATCCTACTCTAGGAACAAATAACCCACAGTCTTCCTAGTGGCATCCTTTATTCACATACTCTGCCCTAACAGAGCATTTCAAGCCATATTCTCATACCAAAAGGCACTTTCAAGTCATTCTCACAAACGGTCTATATATACAGCGTAACATACCAATCATCTTGGGAACCCTAGGTTACCTTCACAGAGCTATTTCAGCATGAAGACTGACCAGGCAGGTGAGCAACCTCTTTCTAGTAATCAGGTAAGAGGAGTCAGGCAACCCATCTCATTTCTTAAAATCAAAGCAGTCCCTATTTTTGGCTTTTCTGAAGGTGTCTCTCGCCATTTTCTTTTTGATTTTTGCATCCTTAAAAAAAAAAAAAGTCCTTGAACTTTCACTAAGGAGCACTAAAATCCCAACCATGGCTACTAAGCAGATCCCTATTCTTCCGTTTGGTGGCTACTCCCACCCTACTTACTACTGCAACTCTGTGAATTGCGTTTGTATTTTGTGATAGCAAAAAATGACAATTTTGCCTGGCTGCCCAGTTTGGGATGGCATCTCTAGAGACCTGGATTTTCAGARTGAGCCAAGCTTCTCCCTTTGTGGTAAAAAGACGGGCACTCAAAACGAGAATTTACTGCTGAAATATTTAAATGTCTGGCTTCATGSTTCAAGTCCCTTCTGAAAATTCTTATTCAAGTTTCTGGTCTTAGGCTTCGAAATATCAAACTTATACCTGAAGTGCAGGATTTGGAATGGACATAGGGGTCATTCTATGCCTCAAAGCTGGGGCTGATTTTGGTCTTGGTCTTTTTATTTCTGGCTCTTCAACTCTTTGAAAGCCAATGTCATCTTCACAGGATTTCCTTGAAGAGAGATGAGTGCAGTCAATTCCCTCCTCCCGATAATAATGTCCGGCATTCCTACCGCGCCCCTTGAGGGTAGCAGAGTCCTGTTTAAGTGCCAAGGAAATTGGGGCTTGGGCAGGGGCTGGGCTGGTGGGTGGTGATCCAGTTGTTACAGTAGACTCTGAGGCAGAACTTGTCTGCTGTTTATGCTTAAATTTGATAGAGTCACTTCTCTTAGGAGGAGTTGGAGGAGTGGAAGCCACTTCAGTTTTGGATGGCTGAGGTGAATGGCCTGTCACCTGATTAGGAGAAAGATACTCCAGTTTGGGAGGAGTTGGTGGTCTTTTGAAGGTATCAGGGTCAAAAATGGATTTCCTTTGTTTTGGCTTTTTATACACAGAGAACTTGTCCGTTTCTGCTGTTGAGATATTAACCACTACTTTTGGCCAGGTGCCACCACTATGTTTAGCTCCATGTCCTTTGTCGAATACGGTCTCTACCATCACGCAGTCGGCTCCTGCAGCTTCATAGGGCAGCCTCCTGCTGTCCAAGTCAACAACTCCATAGCCTCGGTCCCCGTATGCCTCTGGATTGAAGGAGTTCAGACTGTGTTCTGAGTTACTGTGGCAACTGTGGACTGTATTCCTGCGAGAGTCAGCTTGCAATGTGTTGTTAGGGAAAGGTTTGTGATCGCAAAACGAACCACTGCCCTGATCACTCTGGACCTTTTTGCCATCCATGATGTCTGGACTGAAAATGTCAGTCTGCGTTGAGCTGTTGAGCTTCAAGTTTCTTTTATTTTGGGCTTGTACTTCTGATGTGTGAACTCTACAATTGGATATTTTTTCTGATTCCTTCAGGTTTTCAAATATATTCTGGCCGCTCCAAGACGAACTTTGCGGAAAAATCTAAAACAAAGAAAACCAATTGATTACCTTATTATCACAGCTGATTTCTGTTTCATACAAGGCATGTTCTCAGTCTCCTTAATTTACAGATCCCTGAATATAAACAGATACAGCTGGAAATAGCTTAATAAAAATCTTGCAGATTCAAGGCATAGATGATTAGATAAATTCAAGCTGAGAAATACTTCCTACAACACTGGAAAACAATTTCAGAAGAGCAACTCCACACAGTGGCAGGAGCACAGAACTGACAGCAAAGGGATCTGAAGGGATCTGGGTTCCACTTCTACTACTAAGTGATGCTGACAAAATGATGCATCAGGGTCTGTTTTCCCTCATGAATTTTTAAGAAACTAAAAAGATGAAAGGTAAGTTCCCTGAAGCTGGAATTATTACTCACCAAGCCTGTGGCTTTTTTTTTGGAAATCAGTGAGCTTGCGAGAGGGAACCTTGTGCTTAAGCTGTCAAAGGCAGAGCTCAGTTTTCTGTGCAACTCCCTCCTGACGAAGAGCAAACCTTTGTGTAGTCAGGAGGAGTTTAATTTTTCATGCACAGACAACTGCTGCAGCTGTGCTGCARAAATGCATGACAAAGCTAGGAGAAATTCCATATAATCAGGAGACAAATGGCAAAGAAGCAGGAGTAAAGAATATATTTCATCTTTATCAGATGTCAAATAGTCTTCCTTTGTAAAAAAGAACTACCAAATACATGAGAAGTGCAGTGCATCCAGAGAAAGTGTTGCTTTCAGCAGATACTTTTTCATAGTAATAGATTACTTCTGATGATCTTGTCACTTTGTGAATAGGTTTGTATAACTTGAAGAAAATACTGCCAATTTAGCCTCTCCTACTCACCTTCATCAGTGACAGGGTAAGGGAATCCCTACAATTCCGTAGCAAAGATTCACATTCAGTCAGTGACTTGTTATCCAGTGCAATGCCATTGATCTATTAATACACACACAAAAAACATAGTAGACATCCATAAAACAATAGTAGCAGGTGGGGAACATCTTAAGGTGAAGGTGGTATCTCCAAGACAACCAAAACCCTAGTTAGTGCTCTATTTAAATCAAGGTTTCAATATACCTATCAGTTCTGGTTGGTCTTGCCCTGTCACTTTACCCACATCCACCTCAAGAACATCTCTGCTTTGTTACAGTATACAGTTTATTTCTATAATCTTTCTTTTTACTAGCAATACCATTTAACCATACTTCTATTCCAGTGCATACTGCATTAGCCTTTATTAATTCATATATCTACAGTAATTAGCTTCCCTTCAAGGCAGTACCAAAGTCAGATGCTTGAAGATTACAAACATATACAGGAAAAAATTTCCTCCAAACGATGACACCTGTGATGATCATAAGCTAACTGTATTCAAAAGACTGAGTGAACTGAAAAGTCTGAAATTCTAAAGAGCAATATGTTTGAGAGAACTTGCAGTGAAGAAATTTCAGAGGCATTCTTAAGACTTACAGCAATTATTCTGTCCCCCACAGCAAGGGATCCCTCTTTGGCAGCTGGGCTTCCAGGTACAACAGCAGCAACAAATATTCCATTTTCTAGACTGACTCCACTATCTGAAATTCAGTAAATTCAAGTTTACTCCTACAATTCAAATCAATTATTTTCAAATAWTTACACATCTGACACGGCTATGTGAGAAAGAAATCCAACAACTCAAGTCAACCAGTCTCTTAATATCTTTTATATCTTTTTAAATAAGATATATTTTTATCTTACCTTATAAATAAGATATATTTTATTTAAATAAAATATATCTTAATATCTTTTTAAATAAATGAGAAATCAGCATAAAAAAATTAAGTTTCAAGTACCCTGGAACTTAATATAAAAATACAGACTCAGAGGCTTTACACTCCCCAAAACACTTCGGACAAATGGCTAACTAGAAATAAATATGAAATAAAAAAAMCCCTGTATTTATGGAATAAATCTACCATCACCATTTTAGTCTGCTAAAAGAAACTAATGAAAAWCCCTCTTTAGAGGGTAACAACAGTTTAAGTTGGAGTTAAACAAACTCAAAACATATACCTTTATATCCATGCCATTTTTGACCAAAGATGAAACATTTATATGCAACATTCAGACCCATTACCTTTCTGTCCAGAAACATTGATGTGAAGAGGTGTTATCACGCGCCCACCTAAGGACTTCCTTCTTCGAACCACCATGTTAATAACTCCTCCTCCATTTAGCACAGCTTTTATTACTTGCTTTTTATCCTTATTAGTAAGATCCACATCATTTATCTTCAGCAGCCAATCGTTCACTCTGGCAGACACAGAACGAGATCAGCATTAATCACATACCTGCCTGGACACAACAGATGAGCTGTTCTCAAGAGGGATGTAACACTGCTGGAAATACCTCAAAATACTAATCCTAAATTATCTGAACTTCTCCCCTCCTGAAGAAGCAGAAAACAGCTAGGAAGCTAAGTGAAGATCAGGACTCCTAAGTCTGCACTTCTATAGTGAAGTATATCCCACTCAGCTGACTGATCACTGCTCTGCTCATTTAAAAGCGACTAATTTGACAGACTGGTTTGATAAAAAAAATCTCTTATTGACACTGAGAAAAGAAATTGTTTTCTAATTATCCCACACACTGTCCTCCTCTTTTTCACCGAAAATGAGGTCATCCTCACATCCTTCCCAAAATGTAAGCAAAAAAGGCTTCTAGTTGGAAGGGTAAAAAGAGAGAAAACAAAACCTATATGAACCATTTCCAACACTGGTGACTTTCTGAAACATTTCTAGATACTGTTCGTCTCAGAGCAATCTCCCAGTCAACACGAAAAAGCTACCTGCAACCAGCAGGAAAATGGAGCTTCACAAATGGAAACACCAAAAGCTCCATAGGTTCCTGTTTAATTTACTCCAATGAAGCAGAAGAAACATGTTCCAGAGTTGCCCCCTACCTCAATCGACCATCAGCAATACTTCCTTTGTCCACTTTGGTAACGAAGATGCCGCAGTCTCCAGGGAGGTAGGGTTCATTCACACCTTCGGCCACATCAAAACCAAGCGCTTTCAAATCCATATCATCCTAAGAAACAGGACTTAGTGATTAAACTGCAACGGCAGCAGTTGTGCCTCTCTGTTAACAAGAGGCCTTACTGCATGCTTGTACTATGCCCTTGCATTTACGTGGTATCTGTTCTACGCAAGTTCTTGTATTTTGTAAAGTCCCAATTCCATTAGATATTAGGTCTTGTGCTGTATCAAAAGATATTTTTTTTTCCCGTCACAGATTTAGGCTGAAATAATGCATAAGGAGAACTTCACAGAACAGAAATGGGAGAGAGAGTTAAGACAACATGCATAACCTGTTTTAAGTCATGATATTGGATGTTACAGTGTAACGAGAGAACTACAATACCTCAGACATGTCCTAAAGAACAGGCATTGCTCGGGGAAAAAAGAACAAGTAACTTTAAAGGTAAGAAAACAGCATTGTGTCTTGGTGAAGCATTCACAAAGAATTCAGCTTGATATGGCTAGAGATCAGAGATAAACAGGAACACAAGCTCTACATTATGGAGGTCTTAAATATAGAAYAGAAATGATATTCTGCTAATACTGGCACAAACCAGATAACCCTGGGTGAAAAAAGGGCTAAACACCTTAAACAAATCAGTCATTAAACCAAACTGGGAAATGTTAGTTTAGTCTTTCTTTTGGTAAATGGGATGGTCACTATAAACAGCGACTACACATTTATATGTTCTTGTTATTTTCAATTTCAAATTGTACACACAAAAATAAGTGTTGGTGAACAATTCAGTGTGCTGAAGGGAGATGGTACTCAAAACTTAAATTCTAACAGGCAAAAAAATGCATGGAGCTTGCATCCTAAAACAATAGGAAAAGATCATGCTTATAAAGAATGGTTCTAGACATGATTTGATGAATAATCCCCTTAAAATAGGCATAACAAAAACTCTTGAGGGAATGCAAAATAAGACTGACAAAAGCAGCACAGCAAGTATGTGAAATTATGAAAATTTAACTGAAAGAGAGCTGATCTAAATTTTATAGAATTTTATAGTATTTTTTAAAAATACTGAAATTAATCATGATTATTTTAAATACTCTAAGTAAAAAGTTGATAGGAAAAGAACGAATCCACCACAATAAAAGATGGCATGCAGATGAATACATCTCCGCACAGCCTCAAACCTAAGTGGATACTACTTTGCTCAGTTTTGAGCTGAGTTATTATGTAGAACAGAAGCATAAAACCCTTTTATTTTTGCATCGGCTCACTGTTCAAACATAGTGGACTCAGTCTTCATCCCAGAATTCAAATGCTAGTATGTCAACAACAATTTCTCTGTAGGTCTATCAAAGTTGGCACACTATTATCAGTATAGTTTGATAACATCATTTATAACCCTTATAGTGAGGAAAGCATATTTAATTGACCTAGTAATATGAAGTGCATAGAGTTTATCTCAAACATTTAAAACAAATTTTCAAGTAAAAAAAATAACCAAATAAGCATATGTGAATGGAAAATTAATCTGGATTCAATGTTGTTTATTGAAGGCACTGCATATGCTAGAAACAGCTACTTTCCCAAATAAGCACTAACTTGACATTTCCCTTATCTATTAAAATGGAGTAAATAGCCATGTATGAAATACAAACAGAAAAATCAGCAGGTGAGAAAAGGGATGAAAAAGTTAATGCATTCACAATCCTGGCAAGAATCTACAGGCAGTAATCCTGAAGGATCACTATTAGCACCTATTTATTCTAGTCAAAAATTAACTTCGAATAAAACACAGCAATGTCTTTGACTGAATGGTCTGAACACAGATCAGAAGGGCAGAAAAATGATCACTGTATTACAGTAATAAAAGATTTATACTGCCAACTTGATCRTTCAGAAGTCAGCAAGTAACTGTCATGTGTGTGGAAAATCTCACAAATGAAGGAGGATCTGGAAGATCACCTGTGTTCTACAACGCCCCAAATGACTACCTGCAGTGTGATGTATCAACCAAAACTATCAAGTGGAAACATGTACAAGGCTGGCATTCAAACCAGGGAAATACAAATTACTTAACTAGAATGAAGAAAAATAAAACCCAATGGAGAAATGTTATACCACGGTAAGAAAAATAGCAGCCAAAATAGAAAAAAGATCTTTATGAAAAAGTTTGACTGTTTTATGTGGAATTAAGTGATTTGCCTGTGAGAGCACAGTACTAAGCTCCAGTGTCAGTGTTTCCATTCGGTCTTAGCTTTCTGCTGCCTTAGGACTGCCATTTTTTGATGAATCACTTGAATTTTAAGAACACTTATCAAAACATTATATTCGCACATAGACCCAAGTAACTTGCAAGCTCAAATGATCTTTTATTTATACTTAAGACAAGGACAAAGCCTGCGTGCAATGATTTAGTTTTTTTGAATTATTTCTCCATGATATGGTACTTACTTCAAGTATGTTTGCGGTTCCTAGCATAACAGAAATAGAGAATTATGATTACACAGATTAAACAGTACCATTTTTATCATATATAGTATTAGGTGCATTATAATTAGCTGTAAGACAATCCAATATTTAAGATGAGAGAGTTAGTTTCTTTGACTTACTCTATCTTTTTCAAATTCTACCACTTCTGTTTCCCACTCCAGAGAGTCCGTATCTATGGCCGAGTCATGGGAACTATGGGCCATTAACTGACGAAACCTGGCCTCCTTTTCCAACTGATTCTCCATCTTCTCTCTAGGGAATGAAAACAGCTTTTCATAAATAGCCCTTTTTACTAAAAGTATGTATAATAGCGAATATGTTGAATGTAACATGTAATGTAATTATACATTATATGTTGAAATATAAGTACAGTGTTATCTCCAAGAGATCCTTGTATTTTATTTTGCAACTCAAAAATGCAGGCTGTGATAAAAGTTTGCTCTAGTCTTCCATYCTTCCAATATCCTGGGCTGTTCTCAAATAGACTTGCTTTCTAAATATTGTGCTAACTTCTTACATGTTTTTGYACTTTTTTTTTAGACACGTTTAAATTGCACAACTAGGTTCCTAAACTGCTGTCATAAAAAACATTTTACCCTTCGACAAGCTGCTTGAGAATACTCAGGACAAGCGGAACATGGTAAATACAAAACTTTTCTGCAACCCATAAAGACCATGTGTGATGGATAATTTCTTTAGCATAGAATCACAGAATGGTTAAGGTTGGAAGGGACCTGAGAGGTCATCTAGTCCAACCCCCCTGCTCATGCAGGGTCACCTCGAGCATGTGGCACAGGGCTGCGTCCAAGCGGGTTTTAAAGATCTCCAAAGGAGACTCCACAACCTCCCTGGGCAGCCTGTTCCAGTGCTCTGTCACCCTCACTGTCAAGAAGTGTTTCCTCAAGTTCCTGTGGAACTTTTGGTGCCTCAAAACATTTTTTGGTGCCTTCATAAAACAGTGAGAACATATTTGGGATGTACTAAACTGCTGTTAATCTGACTGCAATCCTGTATTGCATCAGGATTTCTCCCCAGTGCATGGGCTTGGGTAGTAACTAAAAAAAATAAGTGGTGCTTCAATACACAAAYTCCTGAATGCCTGCTGTTCATAGCCCCAGTGGCATACGGTTCACTCATGGACACAGGTAACAGAGCAAAATTTCAGATTTGTTAACAATTCCATGTGCAGTTTGGTCATTTCTATAACATACTTCAGTTCCTTCAGCTCACGCACAGCATCATTTTTCTGCTTTCTCATATCATCCAGATTGCGAAGAGCTTCGGCCAAGTCGCTTACAGCCCGATCTCGTTCCCTCCTCAAGTTGTCACACAAAGTCCTTCAAAAGAAAAACAAGTTTAGACAAAATTACTTAAAAYTGTACTTAAGTAACAGACCAGTTTTACCACATTGCACTTCTCAATGCAATAAAAAGCAGTTTCAAAAGACTTCTGACAAAAAAAATGTGCTTATTAAACAAGTTTCTTTTAACTTGGAAATTAGTAATTCGGCCTTCTAAGACGAGCTTCCAACTAAGGACGTTTGAGCACTGAAGGAGCTACACTAACAAATTAGTCATCTCCGGACACTGCTGTAGAATTCTAATACTTTCTTTTGTCATCCTTATGAGTAAATAGAGTATTACTTATGCTAGGTAGATGCATTACAGCAAGTTTGTCAAGGTAACCATCTTCTTTCTTCATCCATTTGCAAAACTTGATTTTTACTTACATTTTAGGCTAGATGGAAAAAAAATAATCATGTAATCTCTTTTGTACCTTCCTTTYATTCAACAGCAAATATGCTGGATATTTTATGTCAAGGTCCACACACAGATATGAGCTATTTTCAGGACTATGACTAAATTAGAACTAAGCACATCGCACCTAATAAGAAGGCATAAATTGTTCTTATCAAGCTGGAAGGCTCTTAAGTAGTATTTTTCAGAGGCACGTCGTGTGGATGAAAACACAAAATAACCAATGTTTTAGAACATTTCCTCAGCATTAAAAACCAATACATATACCCTGTGTATTCAGCATATACACACTATGTGATTTAACCAATTCAGAAGTTGCAACAGATTGAAAGAAGTGCTAGCAAAATCCATCCCATTCTATGATTACATTAAATGCACAAGTGTGCACACATGAATATACACAGAGCATCTACAGTTTGCTTACCGTATACTCTCTCTTTCTGCAACAATCTTATCCCGCTCTTGAAAGGCCCAGTCTCTCCTGCACTTGGCTACTTCTGCTTCCTGGACGGCTTCCTTCAGTTCTTGGGACATGGCCTCATATTGCTTCCGAAGCATTTCAATTTCTTTGTTTGCTCTTTCTATGTCTAGGGTAGCAGAATCTTGTATCTGGGAGTTAAAAATAAATAAATAAATAGGCAACTCTTTTAAATAGAATTTTCACGTATGCACATTAGCCTTTGCAATATGTTTACTACCTGAAGTACAAAACTCTCATTTTTTTCCATTAAAATTTCCACTTGCTCAAGAAAACTAAAACAGCAACATGGATAACAAAGCAACAAACAAACAAAATGCTCTGCTGTAACGTCTCACTCAAAGTAAAGTTGTGGGAGCACAACCTACATGAATAACAACTCTCACTTGTAAATAATATCAGCATACTTTATTTTAGACAGCATGCTTATATCCTGTTCTGCTTAGCAGACAGGAGAAAAACAATAAAAATACATTTAAAGATATTCTATTGCAAGTAGTCACAGTACAGATTTCTTGCACTAGAATACATAACATGGGACAGAGATGCATATGTTTACAAGGCAGATGGGTGACTCCAAGTTCCTAATTTCTAAAGCAGAGCCAGAATTACAAAAACTCCAAAACTTCCAAAAAACTTTTGGTTAAACAATTCTGAACTTAGATAATAAATATGTCTGTTCTCAAATTAACTCGACATTCTCTGTTTTGAACAAAACAGATGACAGCAACACAGATATACAGGCAATACAGTATGACGTGCACCAAACAAGAGTACAGCCCATCACAAAGATCCTGAAAAAGTGTGGTTGGCTTCAATTACATAAACCTCAAAATGACTTCAAAGTTTACTAAACATGAGGTTTGAATGCATGTTTTTAAGATATGAATGTATGTTTAACAATAAAAAGTATTTGTACTGTCAGGATAAGCACACTTAAAAAGGTTCTTACCTCTAACTGGGACCCATTGACACCAGGTTTCTATTCTGACCTCAACATTCAACCAGACCTCTAACTCGCCTTATGAGAAAAAAATGAGGCTAAGGATGTAAAGACCTTTAAGAAACTCGCAATACCTGACGAGCTTGGTAATATTCCCGTAGTAGATGGTCTCTCTGGATGATGGCTTCTGTTCTCTCTTTCCTGGCAACATCTCTTTCTTCCTTCACCGTCTCGATATCCTTGCAAGCTTGATCAAGTTCCTTCTGAGCCTCAGCTTTGTCCTTCACTTCATGACAATATTTTTCCAGCAACTCATTCCTCTCACAAATGGCTCGATCCCGTTCCACTAGAGCTGAGTTTAGCTCCTAAGACAAAATCCATTTTTGGCATTATGTTAGGTACAGAAGGAAAAAGCTCATCTTACTGAGTACATGTGACACCTTAAGAACCTGCAGAGTTTACCACTGATGTTCTGTATAATGGGAGCCTAATGAACTGGGTTTACAGTTTGTACATTCTTGCATCATGTGCATTACATATGTGATTTGTGCATTCCCTGATGGACATGGAATAGAGTTATTTTACACAATTGTTTAGGACTGGTGGTAAAATGTATTTTAATACTCTCCTCTAAGAAATAAGGCATTAACAYGCTAAATTTCAGGCCAGGACTCTGGATGGTGGTCCAACCACCTAAATCTTATYCAGCCAAACACTACAAAAAGGTCCTCCTATGTACAGACAACTCTAACTCTTGATGTTTGGATTTGGAAAAGATTGCTAAAGACAACCATCATCTGAAAAGCAGGAAAAGATCCAAATGTGTAAAAGACATCTTGTCAAAAGCCAACTCCTACTTTACTCTGCAGTCTGCAAGGAATAAAAATGAGCATTTAGAGCATGAAAGACAACTGCATTTTGGTATACTAACATCATGCTTCCTGAGTTATGACATCTAATTAGGGCTAGTATTACTGTTGTGTGCCTGTATTAAACAGAATTTTCTGCTGGAAGTAAGTACGAGAATTAATGATTCACTTTGTGAATTTTAAATATAACAGTGTGTCCCGATTACTAGAGCACTCAAGATATTTGAGTGCTTTTTAAAAAGACTGAAGCTTTTAGTTATATTAGCAAAGAGATTGCTAGTTCATCGATGAGAACACGTTTCAGTATGAAAAGGAATGTTTTGTGTGGCWGGACTACAGTTTGCATATAAAGTGCATTCAAATGAATGTACACAAAACTTAAACCACGGCATTAAATCCAAGATGYAGGAGAAGACAAAACGTCACTATATCAAGGCAGAGAGAAAACTTTCAGCAATCCATTACATGAAAAAACTTAAAACACTTGAAGATGATGGAGAATGCTTGAGAATGATGGAAAAGATGGAGAAAAAAACAGGTATTGTTACAAGAYTGCAGCACATTTCATCATTTTCAACACAACTAWCTGAGTATGCACAGTCTTTGCCTTTGGCAGTCCAAGTAAAACGCTATTCCTGTCTTTTGACATCTGCACCAAAATATGGCATGACACAAACAAGGTGCTGTTTTATGGCCATTAGAATAAAYACTGTTTCAAAATACAACAGTGCTTTGGTTTGAAGAGCTGTTCTCAATTAGTGAAGTACCAGCAGATCATCTTTGTCTAGATAGAGGGTTTCTCTTGCCATTGGAGTTGATAATGGACTGTACCAACATGAAAGCCATGTTTATTAACACTGTCTGCCTCTGCATCATTCAAAATAACTTTCTATTTTGCACTAAGCGGCTCCTTAAAATCCCARGTCTGCAACACTGTGGTCCAAATCCTTGCTGAAAAGTTACACTGCACACTTGAAAAAAAGGAAATTTCCATCCTGCAGCTGTTACTTGGAAACTTGCTAATAAAACCATAAGCCTAGTAACCAAAATGTTACCTCTGCTARCATTTAAATTAAAAACTAAACTCTAATTTTACTTGGTCCTCCATATTAGCTCATCTTAATTCCAGTAAAATCAATGGTAAAAGTCACAAGCTTGGTGACTTAATGGTTTAAATGCAAGTAGAATAGGTTTGAAACAGATGTATTAAAACCTTACTCATTGCAGAGACTAAATCACTTAGCTGGCAAGCACGCAGGGTTGAAAGCTTTGAATCTTTAAAGCCAGAAGTGATTTAAAAAAATACTAGCACCATATGTCAAACCACATTATGTGCCTGAACAGTCATGTAGTTTAAACAAAGCTCCCCAGCTTAATAATTATTCATGAAGGCTATTTTGTTCAGTTGTAATGCTACAAAAAAAGTAAACTGAGATTTACATGCAAAGAAATACATTTGCTTAATCTATTTCATACTAAAATAAGTATTTGCAAACAAAAGACTCAAGTGGATGAATTCAGCTGAAATCAATCTGAGCAGCAAGCTGCATTATATATACTGTTTTGATGTAGACTCTCAGGATGTAAACTTGTTAAGAAGAAATTGCTGAAGGATACAAAGTTCTGGCTTAACACATGTTCTATAAAGCACATCTCAGGTGTAGYGAAAAACTTAAAAATATCTTTGTTAACCTCAAAAAAGGCAGAAAGAATGCAAACAASTAAGGTAAAACCTTCAGATAAACACAGGTTTTACATAAATGCTTGAGAATTTACTTTATCGTGTAACTKAGGTCATACTGGATAGTGGTTCTCATGGTGGTTAAAAATTAAAAATAATGAATATTTAGAGCTATGTTCTTGCAGAGGCCACTACCTGAACAAGCATTAAGGACTGACTCAAYTCAGGGAGGATTTATGATGTGCAGCATAAAGGCAAGAACAAACTTAATCTGACAGGTACCCTATTAAAACACACAGGCGTAATATTTGATAGCAGAGACTGCTTTACATGGATTTTCCTATTTGCATCTGATTCTCAAGGCAGTGTTAGGCACTGGCTGCCTTCCCCACCAGAACACAAAGTTAGTACCTGTCTCAAAGCTTCCATCTCTTCACTGGCCACTCGCTTCTCAGAGGACGTGTTCTTCAGCTTGGACTCTGCAACCTCCAGCTCTGTTTGAAGCTTATCTACCTCTTTGATGACTTGATCTCTCTCGCTCATTATGAGGCGATATTCGCTGAAAACCGAGTCCCGCTCTTCCTTGTACTTCTCTGCATCCTTGGTTGCTTTCAGCTGCATCGTTTTGAACCTGGTCACCTCTGACTGCAGTCGCTCCATCTCTCTCTGCAGCTCTTTGTTTTGGGTTGTGGCATTGCTTAGCTCCTGCTGGACTGACTCAAACCTAAAAACAAGTGGAAAAGTCAACAAAATACTTATTCTCCGTTTTCCTTCTTCATACAGTAAGGATTTGGCTGGACAATCAAAGCTATCCATCAGTACACAATACAGCTGCAGAGAACATCTCAGACACTGTATGCCAAGTGCTGCAGAATAAAARAAGATTATTATTATATAATTGATTGATAACAGACTGAAGTGTCAACGTGCAGAAAAAAGAAGGTCTACTTGAGAAAACAACAATTCAGAATAAATTTTGCTATTCAAAGTAGACTTCTATTAAATTAATGAATAAGGAACACAGAAATACAGCCATCATTTAATAGTAYGGCCTCAGCCTGATCTATTGTGTTGAGTTTTAAGCATCTTAAAAGGCATTCCTTCTCCCCTCATTTTAACATGYGAGGCAAAAAGGAAAACAAATCTAGAAATTAGAACAAAAAGCCAAGAACAACTCAAATATGACAACACAGGCGAAAGACAAAGACTGGACAGGTTACTGAAGGGGGAGAAAATGGGGCTATAAATGCCAAACCAGTGCAACTAGAACAGGTAATGCAGACATTCCTATTCATTTCCATCAACAGGGCACCCAATAAAACTCAATTGTAGAATAGTTTAAACTGTCTATATCTATTTTTAAAAGGTAACACATTGAAACAACATGTACTTTAGCTAGAGCACCTAAACGTATGTCATGATTCAATGCCCCTAAACCTCTAGCATATTCCATTCCTCCCTCACACAGGTGCACTTCATACAGCTTACAGGTGATTTCTGGTTGATCCAGCATGCTGAGAACACACAGTAAACTCACTACAATTCTTCTGAGTAAATTGCTTCTACTGTAAACTTATTTTTGCTTTATGTAACTGGGACTATGAAAATAAGAAAATATTACAGGAGAGCTCTAAGTATATACCCAAAATCTTGGAGACACCTTGAGAAATGCAACCTTGCTGCCATGCAGGAACTCAACCTCATTTGCAAATTATTCAGGAAACAGAGCAGGGGATATGGTGGAAGAGGGAAAGGGAAAGATATTTAAGGCAATGTCTGCCAAAAAAAGGCAAAAAAGCCATTAAGAAACAAGTAAAAAGTATAGTGTATGAAGAAAAAAACATGGCATTTAGGAAAGCAAAGTGTTTAATTTTTTCACTTTTTCATCTTTAAGCTACAGGTTCATTAAATCTTAAGTTCGGAAAACTAAATTTTGAGAAATATACACAACTGAAACAGTTTTAAAAGGTAGGACTCGGTAATCACCCATATTAATGCATGCTTAGTTGTCAAGACACCATATAAAACATAATACAGATTGAACTGCTGTAACTGGAAACCATTAAAAAGAGCTCAGAAAGAAATTTATGGCTCTATGATTAGATCTGTGATTGACGGGAACAAGGATATTTCTCTTGAAATTCTTAAGACCAATGTTTGTTGAATACTGAAGCATAACCAACATCTTGCACAACAGCTCTTGCTTAACAACCTTTATTTCTACTTGAGGGCTCACAGCAGTTATAAATTATTAACCTTGAAAAGACTAATTTAAGTGTCAGGACATTATGCAAATCCCCTGCCATGGATGACAAATTTAAATAAAGCTTAGAGTATAAAATCATAATTCCTCTTAAGAAGATTAAGAAGGGGGGCCTGCAGGAAAAGGCCATAATACACGTGTCAGGCTTGCGAGTGTCATGCTTTGAGCACAGCTCTAGGGCTTGTCACATGTTAGACTTCCTCCCAGTTTCAGGAACCCAGTCAGGAACCATTTTTAGGTTACATAACTACACTCCGAGAACTTTTTAAATTCAGGCTTATGCATACTATAAATGTGTTTATTATTATCCTTTTTATTATTATATGCTTTATTATTTATTACCTGTGTATTAAATGTGTTTATTATTATCTATTTCGGTATTGAAAAATACTAGAGACCTATGAATGCTTAAGTAAATATTTGCTTTTGGCTGCAAGAGCTACATGATTATCCCTAACGTATAGCCATGAGAACATTCCCARCGCACCCACGGGCACTTTTCCTCATGCCTATGAGCATTCCTCCTACCCCTGACTGGTAACTACGTAGGCCTAGCATCAAGCAGAAGCACAGAGAGACTGAGTAGGAGTAGGAAATAACTCTGATTCAGCTGCTGGTGGCAGCCATGCAATGAGGGGCTTCACAGCCAAGCGAGGCACAACCATCCCAGAAACTTGGATGCCCACCTGCAGCACTAGCTCCGAAGCTGCAATCCAAGGGCCACAACAGCTTGTTGCACGYTGCAGAGCAGCTGCATTTGTTTTACACCCTTTGGGAAAAAACATGCTTTCCCACATATTTTTTCCAGGAAAATATACATGGCTACATATGTAAGGAAACAAAAACACATGTATATTTATAGATACATACATGCATGTGTGTGGGTTTTGTGCTCCTCCTCGCCCATAGAGGAGTTCATTGCTTGGAACGCTATGCTTGGTTTGGAACACTACATCTGAGGCTTAACAAAACTTTGGGTGTATATTCAGCCTGTGCCTACAATTAACAATAAACATAGCTCAAAAGACAGAATATCCCTTTCTCACACAACCTAAGTAGTGGCTAAATTCCTCAAATGATTTCCAATTATTTCCAAAATCTCTTTCACAAGGAAAAGAGATTGCCTCCTATACCAATCTGTCTCACACCTTCTAGCCTCTTCTAAAATATCTAACATAAAAGAAAGCGTTTTTACCCATGACACTAAGATAATACATGATAAAGACACATAAAAACTGGGAAAATATTAGTGATACAACCACAGAGAACATAAACTATAACAGAACAGTTGCTGTCTTCACAGCATATCTGAAAGGTACCAAAACCCAATTATACCTTCTGAGGGAAGAGGAATATTGCTGCTGGAAATGTATTGCTGTGTCCCTCTGCTTCATTAGCATGTCAATCTGCTTCTGAAGTCGTCTATTCTCCTCCTCAGCCTGTTCTAGTCGGCTAAGATCGGTATTGTGACTTGCTATCTTCTCATTGTACCGCTTCCTTAATGCRTCATAGTCCTTCTTCACTCCCTCTAGTTTGTCCATTGCTGTATCATAGAGTTTATTTAATATCTCTGATGACCCGTTTTGCTTCATAACCTTTAAAAAACAAAAAAGCCTTTGATAAGTCTCAGTTGTCAAAATAGGAATACACATCTTTTCACCTCTCACAAAGGTGTACAAAAATCACTGGAAACTTGCTACTGTGTGGTGACAAATCACTTAGGTTGCTCTTTAAATGCAGGTTTCCTTTGAGGCTGAACAAACAGTACTAAGCCAATGCAATGATAAAATACATATCCAAAAGATTCTCACTTCCAAACAAATAAAACTCATAATGCCAAGAACTGTATTATTAAACAAAGTTTTTATTCATTCCCTTTACTGCTACTCATCTGTAGAATGTTAATGGAAAAAATGGTTTATCACATCTTAAGCGCACAAGTTGATGAAAATCCCTTTAAGGCTGATTTTGCTACCAGCAGTTTACTAAACCTAGATTTTCTTCACAGTTCTTTGTAGGTATTAGTTATTTGAAGACCAAGATATCAGTAATTTGGGAAACCACCACAAGGTGGCACTCAGGACAGACGGTCTATATTCTCTGTGAACAATTCGGAGAGACCAAAAGCTGCATGTTATTACACACACACRGGCATATACTTGAACATTCTGTAAGATATTTCATGCACAGGATCATGTTTCAAAAGCTAAAGCAAAATATTAACAGGAAAAGAAAAACACAGTGAAGCATGAATAAACTCTATGCCATACCTTAAGTTTCAAACTAATACCCATTGATGTAAGAATACATTGCTTAACTAAGACTGSTGAGTGACCAGCAGTGGCAACAGAAATCTCTAGAGAACTTACACAAATGCAGTTTTCTCCTCTCCAGAGGCCAAAATCTGTGCCCCTCAAGGGAGGTCTCCCCCCTTTTCAAAGGGTGCTCATTTTCTAAGTTTCTTTTCTTTCAGTGAAATTTGCACTTGAAACAGTGGGAAAAAACAAGAGGTTTGATATAGAGCAGTGCAGAAATGCACATGGTCTTAACGTTAYGCTACCAAGAGCGATTGCTCTTACGCTGGACACAGCTGCATCCCTAGCAAACGGGGAAAAAAAGAGAAAGTTGGAAGATGAAAAACGTACAGAACAAAACATGTGAGCAACACAGAAAAATGAAASAAAAAGCATTGCAACTGCCATCCACAGATCAAACCAACTTCAACTACCAGGAGGGTTTTCCTTGTGCCAGCTACGGCAAAGTTGTGATGGCACAAGTTCAACACAKCCCACGAAGTGAAAAGAAGCTGAAGATTATTTTCCCTGCCAAACACGTTCACATTACCAGTAGTTTCAGGTTTCACTGGCTCCTCATCGTCTTTAGCTTCTTATTCAGCCTAAAAATCTCGTTGTGAGCACAGGAGAGCCTGGTGACTGCGGACCAAAAGGAGCTGCCACCACTTGGAGACCACCAGCTGTTCTAAGACCTGCACCCGGAGCAGGACACATTCACACTACGATGCCGCTTYGGGCCATTTCAGCTAAGTGGTTAAATGTATCCTTATTCAAGGACACGCTGCTCTTCTGTACTTCTTAAGTATGTAAGTGTATGTCAAATGTAAGTATACGTCATTTTATACCTCCTCAAAAGTGTTCTTCTCCTGAAAACCCCTTCTCACTGAACACTAGTTKGATAAATATTTGAGAACCAAGGTGAAAGCCCATATTGTTAAAATCTTTTGCTAAGAAATTTAAACAAAGGTAAAGAAGGAAAAAACATCAGAATTTGCATGGAGGTTAACAAGTCTCTGCTAACGAGATATGATAGAGCTAAAAATAAAGAAATGTCCTAATCAGGAAGTGGTGCAATAAGGAAAGTCTCCCATCCAAAGTCCCAATCTGAGCACTAGTAAAYAGTGCCGGGCAGACCAAAGGGGACAGCCACGGCAACCAGGGAGCTCACACAGGAGCAGCAGCCCTTGTGCTCTCAGCTGCTACACAACCCCGCTCCCAACAGCTACCTTGACCAGGAGCTTTTGCTCTCCAAGGTTACCCAAATGCTGCTTTTTACTGCTGCCCAACACTGGAATAACATGTTGGAGGGATCAACAAAAACAGAGCTAGCCTAATTCGGATGAAAAGTGACACAGACAAGACGAGGCTCTTGGCATCCCTTCAAGACAACATGATTYACTTTGACAGGCTGAGAAAAGGAGTTATACAAGTTTCTCACCAAGAATTACGCACACAGTTTTATATAAAAATGCAATCATGAAGTTCACATGAGACATCAAGTTTCTTTAAATAAATACTTAGGATGATCTTTTAACCTCCTTCCATACTGCTAGATAGACCTAATTAACTTCCAGATAGATGATGGAAATACAACCCATGAAGACAAACCTATGAACCAAGTCACTAAACTATTTTATAGCAAAACTCTCCAGACCCAAATCTCCGAGGCCAGGATCAAGAAGAAATACAAACCTCAGTATCTTCTTGCACTCACACCAAGAAAATTCCTAAGCCACCATTGAACACACGGAGGCTGCTTTGACCTTTGTTCCTCCTGCCCTAGTAAATAATTTTGTTTGCATAGGCTTTGCTTCAAAGGCTCATGTTTGACTTGAAAGTTTGCCTTGTGAATCAGCCTACACACAGTTACCCAAGACGTTCTGCTGGGCCATTCCCCATGTTGCTGTAATTGCTCCAACTAAACTAGCACGCCTCTGTGCACAGGAGGCACACACCTGACCCCTGGTTGCTCCTTATTATTGCTCTTGCCTACATTTCCTTAGTCTGTATGAATTTAAAATCCTTGGTGTTGAGACAGCCTGCMACATACAGTTTTGACATGTCCACTCCTTTCAGTCCCCAAAAGCTTGCTTTTTCATGCTTCAAGTTTATGAACGTGATCAGCCTATGCCTTTGTTCTGACTGAAGCACGGTGTGAACTTGAACCACCAAACCAAGTTCAACCATTCTCCTAAGCTTTAAGGGGTCACTAGAAGAAAAACCTGTCCCTTTTTTTCTGTGACACTTTTAAAGAACAAGGCCTGGATCTCTTGCCTGTTCAAAGGCACTCCTGTCCCACCCAATTCCTTAAGATCTAAAGGTGCCATGGACTCCATGCATCACCTTGGATTTTTACTCACACCTACATACCTACCCACTTAAAAAAAAATCATGCTGCATATTGCCTTAATGTGCACAGTTGTTATTTAACCTTTTCTGCAGTAAAATTCCTTCACACTACTGAGCATCCTGTATCCTTCCTTCTTCCTGATGCAGGCAAAAGATCAAATCATAGCGAAGATCTGGTTTTCTCCCCTTAAAAACCTAAGGTGTGTGTTTTTGAATCAGCAAGACACAGAAGGCAGCAATGCTGTCCCTTTGACTGTATTCACTGATTTAACCAAAACATGCATGGACATGTTCTAGGTGATAAATGTGTGCTTCTTGTCTTAAAGCTGTCACTCACAAAGAATTAAATAAGGCAATTAAAAAAAAAAAAGATTTAATCCAGATATGGAAAAAACATCCTTGAATTTCTCAAGAACAACTCATCGTTTATGCTAGTGCTTGCACCTCAAACTGTAGCTTACCTGTTGCTGCTGGCTACGTAGGTCTGTTATCTCTTTCTGATCCTCATCATGAAGCCTTTTCATTTCCTCACACGACTGCTGGAGATGGTTGTGTTCTCGCACCAGCTGCGTGTTTTTCCTCTTCAGGGTATCCATGTCCTCCTTCAGCTGGGACTGGTCACTCAGCAGGCGGCTGTGCAATGTGCTGGCGTGGCAAACAGACACACACAGAAATGCTCGGGGAGGCAAACGGCCCAGGGCTAACACGTGCCAAGGTACTAACCTGCGTGACGCCAAAATTTACTACCAAGAAAACATGTCCCATGAACACATTTCTACAAATTTAAGTATTCTAAGCATCAGAAAATGACAGTAGGAATATAACTAAGAAATTGCAACTGAAACCTGACATTACATGGTGTCCTTACACAGCATTCCAAGATAATGGTTTTATGCAAAATCTGAAATATCCCTCCAGTGCCATTCCACAGCCATGTAAAAAGCAAGCAGATATACACAGATATGAGTATCACATGAGCACAGTAAGATCCTCGAGAYAACAGCAATTCTACTATTAGATTACCGCCCCTTCCCCTTGTGCTCCTTGTCTGGATCAACAACTAACCTAACTACAAGTTAAAAACAGAAAAAAGCCTCTTTTTTTTTTTATTGCTAAAGAAAAACAAAAAACTCCACACACACAGACCRTGTGTTGATTACAGTCTAACAAGTTAAAAAAGTACTATTAAAAGTTATTCCAAACTAATTACATATAGCTGTTAAAAGAAATGCACTCAGACAACTGATAGTCACACTGCTGAAAAGGAGCAAGAGTTAATCAAGTGTTACCTGCTGGATTAAACAAAACAACCACACTGGAAAGCTCTTCCTGTTGAAATAGCCTCACTCAAATTCAACTCTCACACCTGCTAATGAACTGTTTAAAGTTCATAATAAAGAAAAAAAGGAAAAACTAGAGACCATGAATAGAATCAGTTTATATTTTAAAAATAACTGGTAAACTAGCTAAAATACACTTTATACACTTCCCTTTTGGTGAAATGAAATACCASCATTTTCTCAGCAGAATGACCCAAGGGGCTTACAGAAATCTTGCTTAAAATTAGGACAACAGCCTGCTAAAAATTAAGTCCTTGACAAATTACATTCGTAAGATTAAGTATACCTAATCTGTACACATAGGTTACTAATCTCTCATATAGATTTTATTAGAAATCCAAGATTGTTCGGATAGGCAATAATCCCCTGTCCTCTAAGCATGTAGGGCTAAGAATTACTCCAAGGGAGGCAGGGGAGAACCATTTTTAAAGTATATTGTGCCAGCTTCTTATTAACCCTCAAATTAATCACGAAATAAAGAGTATTATGCATGGATTTCAACATGGTGTCACATTGAGGGCATCTAAATCCACAGACTGAGCTGTGCCCTTCCCTAAAGCTTTAAGTAGGAACTTGAAGTAGTCAAGTCTCAGTAAATGAGTTGCTATAATAAAAAGAACAGTAAATGAATGGTTACAGTTAAAAGAACAACACTACCTCTGAACAGATTAAAATACCCTGCACTTTCTTCTGAGCAGATAATCTTGGTCTCAACCAAATGTAAACAAAAAAGCTTGTAATTTCCTATGTGCAGCACCGTGAAAGACTCCGCTGTGGGCCTCTGTGGAATACTCCTATATACTTAGAACACTTGAGTATTTCAACCAATCCATTTGTCTTTCAAAACTCAAGGTTTTCTTTTTCCTAAGATAAGGTTAAATCCTTCTATACTATCATGAAAATAACAAAATAACCAGTATGACCAGAGAGTACATATCTCCTACATAAGAGGAGCTAAATGCCTATCTTTCGGGACAAAGAATACAGAAGTCTGCCATTAGCACTGGATAATCACAGGCAACTGACCTTTCAAAAAATCCTGCTACAACACGCTTTGCACAGCAAGCACTAGTAAGGAGTACGGTCCTCAAGATTTCACCAAACAGTTAAAAACCATGCAAGAAGCAATCTTGCACAGAGAAAAAAAATAAAAAAGAATGAGTAGAAAAGCAGCCATTGATTTAGAGGAAGAAGAATACAGAGGCAGAACTCTTAAATGAGACCAAGTAAATAAGTAAAGTTCTTTGTGAGGAAGCAACACAACTTGATAGCCTGACCTGCTGGCAACCTTTCATACTTTCTGCAGGTTTGGCACGAAGAACTTAAGAATTACTGTGCAAAAAAATGATGTCTGTGTTTAAAAGGTTTTAAGAGTTGTGGGTCGAAGTGCAATGTAAAAACTAGCAGTTTTTGACAAACGCCATCAAAAATGCTAGTCATACTTTACAGCATAGATTTAACTATCTTTAACCTCAGTATTACCTACATTTTGAATTGAGCCATTCTCCTTTCAAATGAGTAGAATGCGCTGCTAGTTACATCAACAAGCGATTTTGAAAAAAGGAATCCAGTTGTCACATTCTAATACCTTATGATCTAACAGAAATGACAGAAAACTCTTACCTTTTACAGCTTTATTGGTACTTACTGATAAAAGTCTGCCTCTTTCGCTGCTTCCTCACACCTTTTTAGTGTCTTAGTATGTTGATTCTGCAGAGACTGCAGGTCTGACATGGCCTTCATACACTGTATTTTCAGTCTTTCATAATCATGATTTGGTTTTGGACTTGGTCTGGCAAGGAAGAAGAACACCAAAGTCACATTTCAGCTACTGAAGGGATTGAAAACATACTGGTACTACTCAACCCTTGATTGTTTTAGGCTTGAAGTTAAATACTGAACATTGGACATCATGATGCAACCACAAGTAAGAAGTCCTGATCTGAACCTCTATCAATTTCACTCTGAGAGGAGACATCTCACCCAGCATTGACACAGCCAATATTGAGCTCTGGATGCACACACATCCATTGTGAGCAGCACTACCATCAACGACCACAACTGCCACCTGCTACAAGAATGAGCAGGCACAAACATGTCCAAACTTTGCAAGAGAAAGTGCAGGGCTGCTGTGTGAGTGAGGCTGAAAAAACACAGCCTGAGAAACGTGGGGACACAGAGCTCTGAGCTGGGACAACAAAACTGTCGAGAAAACAGCAAGAAGACTTTGTCCACAGACCCCTAGCAAAGTCAGGATTAGGATCACGGTTAATAGAAAACATTTCAGTGTGAGACCAAAATGGAGGCATCTGTGTCCATGGAACTTAACTTGACTATTTTTGACCAAAAGTCATATGGCTAAATGAAATATCTTATTTTAAATTACTTTAGTAATTAAATAACTTAAAACTTAATTAATTTAGTAATTATTTTAAATTACTCGGAAGGAATGAGAAAACATGTCAGGATCTACCRTACATTCCTATATAAAATCCTAGATTTTGTTCAATATTATTTATAATAATTTTTTAAACGATATCATTTTGAATAATTAATTCTTAAGTAAGCTAAASTGAAAGCCACAATCAGTCAAAAGTTATTAAATTATTAGTTAAAAAATTGTGACTTATTGGTGTGGGAGGAATTCTTTAAGATAATACATCTCATCCGATAATTGACTGACATAGATGACAACTAGACCTTTGGCGTTCCTAAGTTTTAACTGTTACCTGTTGCACAGGATCTTTCCTCTTTTTTTCACATCATAAATCATGTTAGAAGCAAAATACGTTAGCAGGATTATGCCTTCTACTTTTGAAGCACTGAACTTAGGACTTTTGAACTGAGCTCTCTGTTCTTCTTCTACACCGTCACCGTAATTTTGCACCAATAAGTTTCCCAGTTTTAGAATGATTTCCTATGTCATTTTCCACATCTTTTGCATTCCTKTATCTCACATGTCAAATCTGCTCTGCTGCCTCACAGATCATCCTTTCTCTTCCTCCTTCTCATCTCAGGCCCTTCCAAACAGCTTCACTGCAATCTCAGCCTGAAAAGTAATCAGAATTGTCTTTGCTTCACACAAACAGCTACATGGATTCTGGAACAGAAAATCAGCTGGAATTGAATTGACAAGGGAGAATGGAAATGGTGTAACACAGCTGTAGTGCCAAGCGCTGTACAAAACCCAACACACCAATCAGGTCCAACTCGAYCTCTTAAGGAGTTTCTGTACAATATGAAGGAGCTTTTTAGCAGCCCAGTTGYATTTGGGTTGCTGAGTGAAATGACAATTCCTCTTTTCTTACCTCACCTCTTTCACAGAGGAGTAGTCCTGGGAAAAAAGAGCCCCTGACTAACAGTTAAAACCAACTGATGGCCAAATTCATCCCAAACYAACTGAGCATTCATGCCAGGCATTTAGTGATTGTTAGGATTTAACTCACTGTCCAGTTAGAGATGCCAAAAGAAGTGCTCAGACAGTTATACAAAAGTATTGCTTTTCCTGTTTTACTAAATCTTTTTTCTAAAATATGATCCTAGTTAGCGTAAGTAAAACTCAATTTGCAAACGTTCACACCCTTGACAGAAGTACTAAGAACCTCAGTATTAAATTAGACTTTAGGGTGCAGTTATTGAAAGAAGACACCATCTGTCCAACATAGTCATTAAAATGACAACATTAATTGAKGCACAATTGAAGTCTCAGGGAACACATTAAGTTACATTCACACCATTAACACATGCTCATACTAGGTTTGTAATGAGAAATTCACATTCCTACAGAAGATTCCAGTGTGTGCACAATTTAACTAAAGAATAACCGTAGGACATGTTCAAAGCCATGAGTGTTTGAGCTCTCTGAAGGCCGCCATGTRTGTATTCCACATGCTTGTGAAGCATCACCAGCTTGACTCTGACGAATCCTATATGCACAGAGGTACCCTCTAGGTCATTTAGTCTAGTGATGAACAAAGTGCTATGATACCAGCACTCCTGGTGCATGATATCCTGCACTSCAGCTTGGCTGCATGGGCAAGAAGAACCCCAAGCACCTGGACAACTGAGGCTCTATGTTCTGCCCTGCTGCTCTAGGGCTCTGTCTCAGCAAAAACAGGGGAGATGGCCAGAAGGAGCTGTATCCYCCAACAGAAGTCAAACACTTAACTGTTGCAACCAAGTGATCCATTCAGAGTCAGGTTGTGGTTGACTTGAATTCAAATGGGAGCACTGCAATATAGTGCTCAGGGGCAGAGAAGGGTTCACTGAATACTAAAATAACTTCTTTTCTGTAAAGGAGAGGTGTCAGTTACTCCCTTAGAACAACTGCTGCAAATAAAAAGAAATTTTAAGATGCTAAGCTCCAAGATCCAACTATACTTCTGATACTCACAAAGCAGCTCAAAAAATCCTCGCTATTCTAGTGGAATTAGCCAGAGAACAAGTCAAGACCATATTGAGATTGACATGTAGATGCACGTGATTAACAGCAAAAGCCAACGCCAACAGCAGAGCCAACTTTCCTGTGGGCAATGCCTTAACAACAGCTTGGAAATGTTTTCATTCACTACATCAAGTCCACAAAAAATAACAGTTACAGATTAGACTTAAAGCAAGCTCTTCTGAAAGGCAGCTTGCRAAAGTCTTTTCGTACTCCACTTCTCTAAGGAAACCACGCTGAATCACCAAGAATGGCTGTTTTCAATACTTAGGGGGCACCTGGAGCACGTGACGAGATCGGATGGGCTCTTTGCTGAGCCACCCGCCACGTGCACATGCAGGGCCCTGTCACGCGTTGCGGGCACTGCGCAAGCCATGGAGCCGCTGTGCGGCACATCATGGCCGCCCGCCTCGGCAGCCATCATCGCTGCGCAGCGCCTGGCGACGCCGCCATGCGGAAGCAGCTCTCCCTTTGGCAACCGGCGCTCGCGGCAGCCCGGCCTACAACATGTTGGGAGCTGTAGCTACTGTGGAGCACCCAGCCACGGCGTGTCGAGAGCTGTCTGCACATCCGCTGCCCTGGCCACAGCCCTTGCTATCAAGGGGCATATACCGATAAGAAAACAACAGCTCTTCCGGGGCTGGAAAATCACCAGGGTTTGCCAGACTGCACCGCTCAGAGGAAGAGCTTGCAGCGTCTCTGCTTGATTCCTGGGAGGTTCAAGACGAGTTGTGCATGAAAAAAGGCTGCTAAAAGCAGTGTAAAAAAAAATAACAGGAAGTTTTAGCAAAGCACAGCTGCATACATAGGTGGGAGTAGTAGTTTCTTCTTTACTAAAGCGAAAAAAATCAGGTAAATACAAATTTTCCCACTCTTCACATACTTAATTGTGGCATCCTGCACATAACCAACTTGGAAAGCACTGTCCAAATACAGTATTTACTGAGTTTTTAAAGCTCTTTTCTACTGGAATGTACATACTGTATTTGCAACAAAAGATTGATTTGACAATCAAAGARAAAACTGGGGCAGTCCAGAAAACAGCCTATCATAATTTTATTAATCATATCCTGGATTATAAAAAGAATTAAGATGTAAAATCCTTAATTCCTAAACTCTGACTTCAAACAAGAAGTATCTTTCTGTAAGAAGTAACTGAAAGCTATGTAAAACATGTTGACATTTGACATGCTTTTCCTYTTCTGTCCTACAACACAGAATCCTACATCATAAAATAACACTCATAACAACGCTCAGAMAAAAAGGCAAGATGCTTAACTAGGAGCATATGACTAAGACGCATATTCTCTCCAGTCTAGTTCATTGATTCAAACCTTGACTTCATCTTGTAGGGACAAGAAATTCAATTATTCACCTGATTACATACAGACAGAGCCTATAAAGCAGCAGATAAAAACAGCAACAAATAGGAACCATAACTTTCAAAGCAGCTAGGCATCATGGCAGTGTCCCTCAGGAAACCTGTGCTTGGCTCTTATTTCAGACTAAATTTATTTCAGGGTTCAAGAAAACATCTCTTACATGTCCTTACTTACAGATAAAAAAATACTTGCGTAGTAAGCCAAAAATCATGTTTGAGTATAGTCAAATGTTCTGTGCTCAAAAATAAATCATCTCCTATACAAAAAACTGTTATAAACAGGTAACAGTTAAGAGGTCACTCATATTCTCCCTTACTACTAMGCTCCTTATAACCAATCATTCCTCAAATCAGAACAGGCCATTAGACATGAATTGACTTGAATACTACTATAACTTGTCAGTCCCCCTTACCTCTCAGTGGTTCTGAGCTCCTTTTTTCCCCCCCAAACGCATGAACTCCTTAACTACCCCAATCGCTACTTTATGGGCAAGTGAGAGTCAGGATGTTTAAAAATATTAACGAAAGACTGAAAACAAGGAGGTTTCCTTCATTTCTTTTTACCTGCAGTCATCGAAAGTCGATCCAGGAGATGAAAGTGCCAGTCGCTTGCGCAGTTCATCTCTCTCACGAGTTACCTGGCGGAGCTGAAATAATATTGTCTCCAGCTTCTCACTCATTTGTCTTGTGTCTGTTACAGGAGGTGGTGATGATGCTTTACCAGTTGTACCTGACCAAGAGAGAAATAATCGTCTGTCAAGGAACTCCTCACAAAAGCAATCAAACTTGACTAACGAAATCAAGACTCATGATAAAAACATCCTGTATAAGACACAAAAGCTTTGGCCAGCGAGCTGACAGAGTAATTCAACTCAGTCAGCTTCTGCACTAGAAGGAAGGCTGTATCTGCCTKACAAGTAAGATACAGCCTTAGTTAGAATGAGTAGGGCCCTTCCTTCYTTGCCTGCTTACAACTTACCATCAATTCAAGAGTTGACAAATGATGCCAAGTAAGGACAATGAAAGTGACAGAAAAGGCATGGATATGTGTTCTATACTTAYGGAGAAACATGTTCTCTTTTTCAAAAAGAAGTAAATTTCACCTGCAGCAGCTTGCACCAGAGTGACACCCAAGAAATTTCACAGAAAAACAAAACAATATAGGACACAGCAATCCTACACTTCCACATGTCATGACTTATCACTCCAGCATGTCAACCTGAACATTTGACTTACCAACAATTCATTTAAGTATTTCATTTTGGAACATCTTGGGCTAAAATCAATATGACCACCAGCACTGCAAATGGACTACCGTAAACAGCCAATTTCCTCTAATGAACAGTCATATGTTAAGAGTTTCACAGGATTTTATATTTCTCAGTATTTTTTTTGCCTTTTTTTTTTTTTTTTTTTTTTTAAATACATACAGTCTTCCCAGACAGCTGTATAGGCAGAAAAGGGCCATATTCCACCTGGGAGAGGACAGCCTGTAAATTTCTCAGCATACTGACACTTATTTGAGCTGTAATTTTAGTTCTGCAAGGGGAATATCTAGGTTCTAACCCTAGAGCAGTCACAGAAAGAGCAGTCACAGATGTAGAAGTTAAAAGGTTTGATCTGTACAGGAGCTTAGAATTTTCTATCCAGGAGAGAAATTCTAAAAATATATTTCTAAATACAGAAGTTACATAAGATGTGGAAATGAGAATAAACTTGATAAGATTTGCTTTTGTTGCTTTTTTAATGGGGAATCTAAAATAATCTTCTCTCATCACTAGCTTTTCAAAGACAAGACATTTGAAGAAAATTTATTGTAWAAGATCAAGTCCTAATGAATTGCAAAGATTGTCTTGTCATCTTCAAACCCAAATTAGCAATGAATGAAGCACTTGCAGTAGGTAAAAACTCCAACTTCTAAGTAAAACTACCTGTGCTTAAGTTTCCACACCAAAATAACTTCTGGGTCAGGGTTAATGTTTACATAGCATCTAGTATAATAGGATTCCTGTTCTTACTGCCTTCAGCTGCTACTGTAATTCTCTAATAAGGATTTCTGAACACAGACAGTTCCTTTGATCTAACTATTGCAAAATAATGCACGTAAATGCTTCAACAGCAAGCAGAAGAAATTAAGAATTGCAGCAACAGCCTGCAATAGGTAAAAAGACAAAAACCTTCATCCCTCAAAGAAAAACTTATCAAGCAGAAAAGAATGGACTAAAAGAAAATACCTTTTAAAAAGCTCATATTCACTTGCAATAGTTTAGGCACATCAATGAGAAGAGCAATTTCAAAACCAAGCAGAAAATACAGCTAGAATAACTTGAATAGCCTCCAGTTCACTTAGTAACTGGCTGCACAGTCTTAAGTAAATTCAGTGGCAAACTGCATGTCCTCTCTCTCTCACTTTTCCCTTTCCAYCCTTTCAGAGATGCCCCAAAGCCCTTTTCCCTGGCACTGGCCTTGTGCCCGCCAGCACAGCAGAGCAAGAAGGCAGGAGGGYCCAAGGAGAGGGGCCTGACCCATGGCCAGGTACCAGCCCTGCGACCACCTCCAGACGACAAAGTCTGTGCACGCGCTCCGTGACTGTGTCACRTACAACTAGACTGCTTTAAGCAAGGCAAGGCTAAGCAGCCTTAGGTCAAAGGCTTTCAGGCCCATTGATCTCAAACAGAGTTTTTTTAATTTCTTTACTATCACTTTTTATCATTGCTTTAAATACTTTCATGCAAWGGTATTTTCAGCAGAGTACCTGACCATCAAAAAGTGCATCTCTTTTAAACAGATCAATATAATCCAGACATCCCCCCTCTTAATCTTTCAAAAAGTCCAAAATCTTTACCCTGGCTCAATTTAACAACCACCTTAGGTTTTCAGYAACTGCACAAAACATCTCATAATGTTCAGGGGCACATGGGGATGCTCCRAAAAGATTTCAGTACACCCTTAGTTCATCCAAATAAATAAATCATACTCTTCATTCTCCCTAAAGGGTTTTTTAAAGCTGACTGCTCAAAGCCTTTCATTTCATCTGGCATCCTGATGCAGTACAAGCAAAGGGAGCTGTGCTTCCAGCTCTGTATCCTTCTTCCATGTGAGTGCATGTCTTACACAGCAGTACTTCCTTGCTGCACTTTCAAACTGGTCTGAACACGCACAAGCCCGAAGGCTAAACTTCCATTACCCCAATTATGGTACCTTTCAGGAACTTACCTGCTCCCGCACACAGCCTGCATTTGTCACAATGCATTTGCTACCTGTCCAGCCAAGTACAACTCACTTGCCCACTTTGGTATGCCTTCAAATAGGGTGGTTCTTGTTGTTATTTTTAAGAGAGGCCAGTTGCACATGGGCTCCTCGCCTACCTCCAGCCAAGCTGCAGTACGGCACCTAAAGGGCCTGAGGGCAGGCATGTGCTGCAGAGGCAAWACAGATTTTCCAGACAACACAGTACACAGGCACTAAGTTCCGAGAAAGAGGTAGAACAAAAGGTCTCAAGTTTTTTGCAGGATTCCCTTCATACCTTCTATGAAAGAAAAGCATTTGAATGAAAGTTGGGGCCATCAGATCTTCCACAATGCTTGGCTTGCCAGAAGATCATGCTCAAATGCTTGGCTTGCCAGCACRGCTGAGAAACATGTCAAGCTGATCTGCACATACGATAACAATGAATRAGCACAAGGCCGAGGAAGCACAAGGAAAAATGGATGCAAAGGCATCTACATCTCATCTTCTGAAATACAGCAAATTTGATTCAAATTCCGACAACCTCCTCACTCTATCAAAAATGCACTGATCACACAAGAAGGGCAGGATCAACAACTTCTAAGGAAAACCTGTCATACACTTCTTCAAAAATCTGACGTTTTACCATGACTTTTTCRGATGTCATCTTATGAATTGTATCATTTCTTGCTCACAAACAAAAGACTATTGAGTATACAATCAGTCTTTCATYGCTTTCATTCCTTTTGTTTTCCCCCTCTTTAAAAAAAAACAAAAATGTGGATGTTTAGAATATGATTTACAAAACCGTAAGGCAATAATCACAGACACTGTTAAGATGAGTATAGGACACGGGCATCACAGACCATAGCCCATCCAGATCAGTGCTGACAATCTTCAGAAATTTCACCTGTCAGACATGAAGATATAGCAGATGAAATGCCAGAAAGTGGTCAGGAATTTACCCCTGTTCTAAGTCCAACATATGTAGAAACCTCAAGGTGCCAAGAAACACATCAAGCTTATCCATTAGAGGAAACACAACACAAAATCCCCAGAACAAGCAGGGGAAAAAAAAATCTCTCAACTCTGTATCAGTTTTCCATCTTTTTATTTTCTAAATATAAGGCACCACACTTGCATGGGCTAAAGTGGGAGGAGACTGAAATGATTCTGTGTCATTTCATCTGTGCTCTGTCAGGCCACAAAAGATCTTGGACTGTGAGAACATCATAAGCCAGACCTGCAACTACATCCTTCCTACAAGTAGTGAAAAATGTTGCTTTGTTACCCACAGCTGCAGAAACTGAGGCAATAAAGTGAAATCACAGGGACTTAAAAGGACAGTTGTCACAACGGCTGGCACGGGTCTTGACAACAGTGACTGAAAGACTAGATGTTGTTGGCGAGGCCTCATGGAACTGGGCGCAGGAGTGATGTTTGCTTTGGAGCAAGAAGAAAGGGCCCCAGATTAAGYAGCTTGAACTGCAGTTAGTGAAAACCCATACCTTTCTGTAAATAGCCTGCCAGGCTGATAAGCTAACAAAGTGTTAAGCAAGGAAACACCGYTGGTTAAAGTCCAAGTTGGACAAGTCTAGTGGGGACAGATCTGCAACTACCTGACGGCCGCAAGGAAAAGTCATAAAGTTAGAGTGCCACTGAGGGGTTTTGTTATCGACTGCACTGCAAATTCTCCTAAGAAAAGCTACTTCAGCAACACAGTGAGCAAAGAGAAAAGACACAGATGACAAAGAAAGATTTCTTTGTCTGTCTTTCTTTTGCCACTTGCAAAGAACTGAAGGGCTGGAGCAGTAGCAGCATGTTAGAAGTCAAAAGRAAACGACAAGCACAGTGTATGATGTGGAGCGAAGGGGAGAGAAGCCTGACGGCTGCAATCCCAACCCATTTCTGTCAAAAGGAGGAAACCAGACATATCAAGGAAAGATGGAATACCTGTATGGAAAAAGCATTACACACCGAAAGAACATACTAGATRAGAGAACCATGTGTGCAGAGGTATTAAATGAGACAATTTTCAGAATGGAAAGCACACACTAGCCTTGTGTTCAAAATACACATTTTTACTCCTAGACATCACAAGCAGCAGTGTCAACCACGCTCAGTCATATCCACCTACTGCACAGGATTTCCAACACGGATACAGAAGGTTCACCAAGGAATACCAAAAGAGAAAAAAACAGCACTGCAAGCTTAAAGCTACACTAAACTTCCATAATTCCAGTGAACAAAATGCAAGTTCAACCTACAACCAGCTCCTGGACATCAAGAGGAATAAGAATAATTTACTCCCTTGTGTCAGTTTGGCCTGTGGGTCTTGGGCGCTCACCTGCAGCCCACTGTGCACGGATAGGTAACAGCCACTATGTCAGCTCACAACAGCAATCATCAAAGGTCTTYTTAGTCATTGGTGACATTCATCTTCTAAAGCATAAGCTAATGGAGCACACTATGCAAACTAACATGCTACAAGACTGAAGAATT